TCCTATACTTCAAGTTTGAATTCGGAGAGCTCTAGCCTCAATCGCTTGTATTTTTCCAAATTAAGCGTCTTCCCCATCCATTGGCATAACCGCTTGATTTTGGCACTCATGTACTTCGACACTAGATTGCTCCGAACGTACCGGAGGCAATACACGTGGGCCCCATCACCTAAATTGCTCCATTCTAGTATTTCCGACATTGCCCTCAAAAGTCCAGCGTTTTGGTCGGAAATCACACAAACTTTGATGTCACTCACAACATGATATCTCAAATGTGTCATGAAAAATGTCCAACTTTTAGTGGTCTCTTCATCCACCACGGCAAAGGCTACCGGTAAAATGTGTCTGTTTACAGTATACACCACAACAACTACCAACTTACCCTTGTATCCCCCACGTAGGTGTGTTCCATCAACAGAAACTACCGACAGACAGTCCTTAAAAGTCCCAGCCACTGGTGCAAATGACCAAAACACATATTTAAAAGTCCTTCTTCCCAAATTCCAACCTTCTTGTCCCTCCTTCCATTCCCATTCCACTACAGTTTCGGAATTAGTACTCTTAAGTGCTTCAATATACCTACACATCAAGTTTGCCCGAGTTATTATATGCCAATACAAGTAAAAACTAAAACAAATTAATTGACATTTATCAAAATTGAAATTTACCTAGGAAGATCTTCAAAATTGGAGGACCAATCACCATAAACCGCCTCTATGGCTTTCCTCTTCTCGTTCCACGCCCTTTTGTAGGGGGCATCAACTTTTACCAACTCCTTCACATCTTCTTGAACATCTTTCACCATGTAATCCACGTTCTTCTGAAGTTTTCTCATGATTAGTCTAGCAATGAATGTCGAGTCCACACAACGGTTGTCATTATCGTTAACCACCCTCATGCAATTGTGTGCGGACCGCCATTTGACTATGATGCAACCCATGTTTTCCTAGTGACACGCGGATCCTCCATTTGCAAATAGGTTCGCCATCTTCGGGGGAGGGGGGGATCTAATGTCCTACATCGAACCGCCTATGTCTTAGGATTACTCATGATAACCTTTAACTCCCTTTTATGGTGGATGTTCCACAACTTCACGGCATGTTTCGCTTCTCCTTGAGACTTGAAACAAACTTTAATACCCATCCCTTCGGGAGTCTCGTCCCACATTTTTATATCAAGATCATCATTGTAAACCCGCGATGCATTCTAATCACCCATTTCCCTATACACATGGTGCCGGGGAAATGGATTTAGTTCTATTTCTTCTGATAGCAATCTCGTAGACGAAACAAATTTCGTTAATGCAACCATCAACAAGAAAGTACGAAGATAATTTTGTCTATCCCGTGAAACTCAAAAGAGTGCGGAAAATTCACAGTAAGACGATCGTTTATCTAAGTGATTCTATCTCTTAACTCAAACCAAGCAAAGAACACATTATCCATGAAAGATTCGAATTAAACAACAACCCACGCTAAGAATAGCAAGGACACCATTCAATATACTCGATCAGTCATTAATCAAGAGACTCAAGAAAGGTAGGAGCAAACAATGCCCAACTATGAAGGAATACTATTAATTAGTAATCTTCATAACCAACCAAAGATATGCAACACATACACTATCTCAAAATGCTTATGCCAAAGCACAACTCATCCCAACAAAAGTAGGACAAACCCCACAATGGATCTCATGAACACACTCATCATGAAATTTGAACACCAAGCCAAAGGAAAGGCTCATCAATTGAACTACTAGAAGTAGTATGAAAATAAGAAGTTTAGTTTTAAAACAATTCTATCAAGAAGCATACTTGAAAAAGAATGGTTTCTGCAAGATCAAAAAGATCCAAGACAAGATGAAAACCCTCTTGGTTTAAACATACTTGACATGAAAAATGGACACTCCATTTAACAAAAATTCCTCACAGGAAAAACTCTCAAAAGAGACAACAAAAATGACCACTCAAGGGTGCTTCTAAAATTCGGCCAAGCCTCCTTTATATAGGCTTGAATTTTTCGCCAAGACTCTAAAAGAAGACCAATTAGGACTCTCTAATCTTATCTCACAAGGAGTAAAAGTAGAAGAGTACTTGATCTCTTTGACTCTATCTAAAATCTAGGAAACCTTATCTAAATCACTTATCCTCAAGTAGGATAATATCTAGAAGGAATCTAAGACTCCTAATCAAAACACTCTAGCTTAATTCAGTCCACATGACTTATTTAACTAGATAAAAATTCGAAAAATTGACTCCTAGACTTAGACAATGACTCTAATCTCGAAATTCAGCTCCAAATTATTGAAGTAAAATGTCTTGAACGCCCTTCCAAAAGTGGAATATTGGTCTTGCGCCCCTTAAGTTGTAGAAACCTCCAATTTACTCCAAAACTTGTAGAATTCACCTTATTGACTCCAAAAGATTGGAAAAACACTTGAAACAATTAAGATAGTTTGCAACCTATCCAATTGTGTAGCAATGGACTCAATCTTGAACACTTTGATCAAATAGGCCGTCCACTCATGAACCTAAATGACTCTTCTCACTAGCTTTGATCAATGATCTTCATGGAGCACACATAGTCAAACTCTCTTGATACTCTTCAGCACTTATTTCCATGAGGTCTTCATCTCCTTTGTTTGCACCCCAAAGTTAATGACATTCTCATCACCTTGATCATAGCTCTCTTGAACCAACTCCCTATCACATAGGTAGTCAAGATCCATCCTTTCTTCCTTGATTGGCCTGCAAAGTAAACTTGGCATTCCAAATCTAGAATGAAGGATTAACTCATTCCCCTCACTAGGAGAACCTCCATGGAAGGCTACATGATTCTCATCATCTTCATTCACCAAATCTTCATCATCACTAGCATCGCGTTCTTCCGAGTTTTCGCTTGGAGCTACGTAGTCAGAATCATTCTCATCCATGGGATCATCGTCGGCAAATAAACTTCCATCAACTTCTTCATGAACCCGTAAAGTACTTGCTTGTTCTTGCCTTGGACCATCTTGTTCACCCTCATCCATGTGATCTTCTTGTGCAAAGAAAGATCCACCATAGTGATTGTATCCACCTTCTTGGTTAGTAATATCCTCCGTGTCTACGTACAAATCCACACTTGTCATTGGCTCGAGGTGGTAGATGATCCCAACATGTGAATCATTCTTTATCTTCATGGCGCGCCTTACACCGTGAGTCACAAAGATTAATGAAACGTGGAGTTTCCTAGCTATTTCAAGATTCCAACCGAACGCCACACAAATAAAACCAAGCAACTCATCATATGACAACCTACTATTAATAACAAGAGCGTCATCCGACTTGTTCTCAAATGTGTTCACTACACCATTCTCAAATGTGTTCATGGCGCGGACATTTTAACTGTTTATTAAGGGACCAAAAAAAATCGTTAACTATATTAATCGTAATCTCACCTTAAAAAAAACAATTCTCAACTAAAAAAACAAACGACAACAACAATAATTCTCACATTCAAAAAAGAAAAAACAACAACAACTCTATGCTCATTAAATTATCCATACAAATTATCCCTTAATTCTATCAATTATCCATACAAATAAAATCCATCCGAATTAATCAAATTAACCTTTATCAATTCTTAAAACAATAACAATCCTAGCCTATAAACTCAACAACAACATCTACATTACCATATTACATTCACAATTATCAATCCTAAGCCCTACCAATTTTCCATCTTCAAAACAACATAAATACACAACAAAATAACTAAAAAAATATTAATATAATGACTAACCTCGTTAGAATACTGATTCCACACGAATTAGCGGTAATGTGCGTCCAAAATCCTGAAGAACTCTGGCTACAACCTTTCCTAACCCTCCAAAATTAAAAACTCCTATCTAAAGGGAAGCTGCAACTTTTTCTTTTTATAGTCCCGTAATTTCGGATTTACCAAATCCGAGAGTCACTATTATGTTGGGCTCTCGGATTTGAGAAATACACAAGGCCATCATCTTATCCAATCCGATTTAATACATCCAACAACCTTATCCACAAGGACGGATTACCATTACACTGAATGGATTCATTCGGATTTGGCAAATCCGAGAGGAAACCCTAAACCCTAAACTCTAGCATTCGGATTCGCCAAATCCGAAGGCTCTGTTTCAATTTTTTTACTTTGCCCACCACTCGTATTGTATTATTTTAATATTATAGTTGGATGAACTCGGATTTCACAAATCCAAAGGTATTGTTCCAGTTTTTGAATTTACCCGCCACTTCTGTTGCATTATTTTAATATTATAGTTGGCTGAGCTTAAATTAAACAATAAAACTACCCTTGGGCGGATTTCTTACCGGCCAATGTTCCCGGGCTGACCGCCGGTCAGGTCGGCCAGCCTGGGCAATTTGTTTTTTTTTTTAATTTTTTTTAAATACGATTTGGGACAAAAAAATTTACCGGTATCGATAGTGTTTCTTCCCGTTGTTGTGTGTCTTATTCCGTCATTTTTTTAAATTTCGATTTTTAGTAAACTAATGTTTTTAAAATTTGATAAAAAGGAAGAAGAAGATGAAGTTGGAGAAGGAGAAAAATAGAAAGAAGAAGAAGAAATGAGGAAGGAGAAGAAGTAAGGGGGAATAAAAAGGGTTCAGGAGTAAAATCGTAAAAAATAAACTGTAGGTGAGTAATTTCTGAACTGCGAAAAGTAATATCCATTAATTTTACATGAAATCTAAATGAGTTGGATTGCGTCATGGCACGATTTAACTATAAGTTGGATTTACCCAACCCAAAACCCACTTAAATGACTCATTTGCCACCCCTACATTTTGCGTCCCCCCTTGGCCCGGTTTTTTTTTTTTTTTTTTTTTTTTCTCTCTCCCAAAACCCTCCCAAAACCTCCCTCTCCACAGGCTCAGTATTCTCCAGCCAAAATTCCATCTACATGTTTGCGTGATCGTGGGCTAAGAAGTTGATGAAGACTATTTCCATGCCCGGATTACAAGTATGAATTCCAAGGTGACTTCTAGAGATATCCAGGATATAATTTCGAAGCTCTCCTCGGACAAGGCTAAAACTCGAGAGGTAACAGCGAAACGGAGTTTCTGATGTTTTGATGAACGAATGAATGCCGGTTTCAAGCCCTTTTCTATGTTGTTTGAAATTTTGACTCGTTATTTTTATGCAGGAAGGGATAAAGTTGTTAAACACTTGGCTTGAAGGCGAACGGTCTATTCTATTCTGCAAATACTTGTCTGATAAATCTGCATCGGTTATATCTAATGAAATTCCTCACTGTAAGTTCTGAAATTTGTTCGTTCCATCTTTGTTTTATTTTTATTTGTTTTTCGAAATCTGCGTATCATTTGGAGCGGATAATCGTGTTGAAATTCGATTGTTGTTTTCGGCAGCGGAGACATGGCCTTTTATGATTTCATTGTTGGTACAATGTGTAAAATTGGAGATATCATCCAGTAAAAGGCGTCTACCAAAATTGAGTTATGCAAAAACACTCCGGATGGTGGTTCAGCGGGCAGAGGATTCCAAGTTTGCAGGTTAGTGATGATTTGGGATTTATGTCGCTTCTATCCGTCAGTATTTATTCTTCGCTATATGAAAATTTTGTGAATTAGTTATGGTAGATACATTTAAATTTCGGCTGTGCTTCCAATTCTTTTATTGTTTTTTGATATGATTTTTTGATATGAAAATAACACCATAGTTGTGACAGATGCATTTCAATTAATTGTGATCATAATTGCTTAATTGGCAAATGGATATTCTATGACAAATGTCTAATGTCATTATGGTAAATGTTTTCAGAAACTAAGCAACTAGGAGGTGAAAGCTAGTTATGAGTTGTTAACTTGAAGTGTTTTTCTCTGAATTTCTATATTTTGCCATTTTCCAAGTGACAAGTTCAGCAGAAGCAATATGATACTGATTCTGTCGTTGCATCTATGCATAATTGTTGGCAGGAAAGAATTTGGTTCTCTTACCTGTGGGTAAATTGCTTTTCAATCACATTTTGGATGTCTTAAAGGATGCTCCTAGCTTTCAGTCTGAGTATGGGGTTATCCTCCGGCATCTTCTGCAACTGCATCATTATCAATTTCACATTAGAAAGCGTATTTACAGTAGTGAGTATTCTTCTGGCTACTCTATTTCAGTTACATACATAAGATGACGATTGTGGTATATTCTTCTTAACTTCAAATCCATTTTATGTTTTACAATTTTAGGTCTTGTGCTCTTTTACATGGAAAAGGTGGAGACAGGCTTTGACCTGACAACTGAAGGCCATCTGAATCCAAAAGAGGAGATCTTTCGTTGCATTTTGACTCTTCATTGTCTTCTTGAGAATCCTCCTGGGGATTTTCCACCTGATCTTCGAGAGGATGTCGTCGATGGATTTATAAGGATTTTTTCTCATATAAAGTAATTCATGTTGGTTTTAGCTACTATCAGCTGTTTTTTGTTGTGTGGTATTGGGTCCCATTTATATCTATGATCTCTCTGTCTTTCCATTTCTTGATTTTCTTTATATATATTTTTTTATAATCTTATCTTTTAATTTTGATATCAGGGAGGAAGGAAAAATTTCACGGAAGTTGGTTGAGTGCATCAATACATTTTTATTAAAAGATGGCCCAAACTTGGATGGCCGAACCCTTAAAATCCATGATGCTGTTCATCTTTTTGTTTTCCACTGCTGGGTAACTACACATGACCGTAGCTTAAAGGTTTGTCATGCGTTGTAATTGTGGATGTGTTTCTTGGTTTTGCAGGATTCATGTTTGCATAATAGTTTTGTCTTGGCTTCTTTTGCAGGAAGCACTTATTCTCTACGCAAGATTGCAGCTGAATTTGACCAGGGGTTTTGGGGATGGGAGCACCTTATTAGAACAACTTCTGGAGGTGGTATGCAGGGAACTAGATCAAATGAGTATTTTGAGCACCAGTGTTTCTTGGTTAGTGTTTATCATCTCTTTGTATCTTCTTGGAATTTTTCTTGTGTTGTTTTGCAAATACAATTGTGTTCATCTTGTCATAGGAATGATGCAACTAGAGACGACAAATGTGGAACCTTAACAAGCTCGCAACAGAGCTTGGTGGAGCTTGCAGCTCTTGTGTTTCTGCGGGTAAATTCAGTGCAAATGCTACTATATTTATCATATGTATCTGATACTTTGCACCTTCCCGCCCCCTTTTCATTATCAAGTTGTAGGGTCTGACAATTTTTTGCTTCCAAGAACATTGGTTTATTGCTGTTTACTTCTTCCAGAAGTACCATTTGCAAATTTCACTCCCATGACTTCTCTAGTTCTTGTCTATTAACCAAAATTGCAATGAACTTGTAATCCATCCAATATACTAAAAGGTCGCATACTGTTTGCGTTCTCCAGGCATGCACAAGCACATTGAAACAACTATCAGCTGAAAAGCGAGCCCGGAGAGAGCATGCAGCAGTGCAGATAAAAGCTGGCCTAGTTGAAGGAAAATGGTCATGGTGGGTGGATAGCCTAGTACCATGTTTGCAGATTTTTAAGTACATAATTTATATTTTTTATTCCTCTGGAAAAGTTTCTTCTAGTTTCTTCTTGGTTTCCTATTTTCGCTGTTTTCATTTTATCCTTCCTCTTGAATGGGTCCATCATTGAGGAAGCGCTTTACTATGATTTCCAAACTGACAAACTGATTATCCTCTTTAAGTTTTATTAGATTGAGTGCTGATTTTGCATCCTGTTTGAAAATCAGAAATGTAATTGGACGTGAAAGTTTGCTTTTAACTGGTAGATCAAATTAACTTGGTGCCGAGATTTTTCATTTTGTTTTGACTTGGCGCTGACATTCAAAAGAACAAAAGGGCATAAGAAAAGAAACAAGAGGAAAAGTTAGGTTGAAGTTGCTTGCTCTTGTGGTTAGCTGTTGGGTCTAAGATGTTAGCTTTGTTTTGCGTGGACGTAAACTTTAGATGTGTTGGGTGTTGGTATCATTACCATAACCTATTTTTTACTTTTTTTTATATATATATATTTGATCAAATCCTTTACTTATATTATGCAATATTTTATATGATTTTTAGAGTAATTGTATGGGTAGTGACAAAATTTTAACTTCTGTTGCAGGCATGCTGCATTCTGTTTTCTTCTCCGTCATTATTGTAACCAACTAAGAAAGGATCTTATCATCTTTTGGTTTGAAAGTATATGTTCGAACTTTGACAGGTGATGCTTTTCCATCATGATATCATCAACATATGCTTCTATGTTTGATAAAGAATACCTTTGAGGCAGATTGCAACTTCTTTTATTTCTTGTTTTTTGTATTTATTAAATATACTTGTGTTTTCCTATCGACATGAAATACACATTTTTATTGTGGTTACCTTGAGGATATCATCTATCTTTCTTTTGGTAGAATTGAAATCACAAGTCTCAATATTTGAGCACTAGTGTATGCAAACTGCATGTGATTTCTGATTAGTCTGAATTTCAAAAATATGATATCAGAAAATTGAGTTTTTTAAATTATTGTTAGTGAGTTTGCATAATATTATACTTGAGTCAATTAATAAAATTTAATAAATTTGGACGTCCATAATAATATATACTAAGTTTACTTTTTGATCCTAAAGGCATTTTGTTGTATTAACATTGGGGCTGCCTGCTCGGTATTGCCCTAGTTAAATGTAATTTAGTACCCAGGTTTTGGGAAACTATGAAAACAAAAATCCCATTTCCTGGGGAAGAAAACTTAATTTCATTCCATTGGTAAAAGAGGCATTAAACAAAATAAAGTTTAGGCATAAAATTCTATCACATAGCTGGGGAACAGATACCTCTCAAGAACAACTGTGTCTATGTATTACTCTAGAATGCATATCTTATATTAGCTTAGTTGTAGGATTAGATAATTGATTGGGTACATTAAAAGTTTGGTGAAACTGTTGAACTGTCTCTTCAGTTTTTGGTGAAACCATTAATCATTCACTAATCTGTGTGGAGTCAACCGGCTAAATCAATGGATGAGTTGAAAACAAACAGAGATCAATCGTATTTACTCAAACGAAGTCTTCAAACCTAGTGGGTCGCCGCCGCCGGAGAAGAAAAGGCTGGAAAAAAAAAATTCATGGTCAATGAACGTGGGACCCACCACCGGCAGGAAATGAATAAAAAATTCGGAGCTTAACGGATGGGTTAAGATTTCCGTCAATTAGAACAAAAAACTTGTTGAAAGACCAACATCGGGCAAAAAAATGTATTAGGGGACTAAAATCGGTTGTGAAAACTTTTTGGTGACTGGGTTAGGCTACCCCCAATACATTAGGGACCAAAACGTGCATTCGTCCTTCTTAGAAATATTCTTCAGGGAACAAAAATTGATGGCATCAAAGTTGTTTTGAGAGGCGAAACTTGCAGTTCTTTTGAATTTGAAGTATTCAGTGTTCCTGCTTTTCAGTTCTTTCTCATCTTTGATTAACTTTATGGTTTCTTGAAATTTTGGGTCATGTGGAAGTTTTGCAAAAATCATTTTATTAACCCACGTTTGGGAGAACATTGTCTTCGAGTTGCTGTTCTGGTCTCCAAGGGGCTAATGCTGTAAGACTTTTGGGTTTTGGGGGTGCTAGTTGCTGTAAGATTTCCTAACATTGGGGGTTTTAGCTGGTTGTTTCACCAAATGCGAGGGGAATTAATGTATTTTATCTTTATTAAAGAAAACATGAAATGAATGAAAAGAAACAAAATTTTCAATTTATGACATTAAAGAAAAAAAAAATGAACAAAGCTAGAAAAGAAGAGAACAAAAGGTCATGAATAGCACATTTCAGGAATAATTGTTGACTAATCACTTAAGTTTTGGTGAACTGTTACCTGCATTTTGGACCTGCTTGATCCATTAAGGCCTTGTGTTTTCAAGTATTTATATCTATTCACTTAAACTATTAAGGCCTTTATATACTAGTTATTACTGAACATTAGGCTCTGGTTGATAAAAATGATATAAGAAGTGTTGAATATAGTTTTCAAATAGATACTCGGTACTTCTGATATTTGTAACTCGTTTCGTTCACTTTCTTGACGTCCTTTTCGATGTTTCACGTTTCTATATTGACATTGGTGGGTTTTTCGTACTCGTATTCAGATGTTTGTGCATGGCTTATCTCTTTGATTTAACTAGTGAACCTTTCTGCTGAGTTTTGTCTCATTACAATCTTTATTTTGGTTACTAATTTTAACAGAATAGTGAATGAGGCAAATGTGGAGCATGCTTATGATGGTCTCCTCTGGACCTTGAGGTATGAGCTGGTAACAGTTTGGAGAGATACTTACTGGTGCCTTATTTATTTGAATGCTCTTTGAGGATTCTGTGGTGTGGCCATTGTGTCTCTGGTTTTGAAGACTTAGCCAACTGAATCTGATGAACCTTACAATTTCTTTCGATGTTGTAACTACGTAGATTAGTTTATTTTTTCTTGGTTCTTTATAAGTTTTCTGATTTTCCTAAATTCTCGACATAAATTATGCACGTGCAGGAGTCTGCAAATACTTTCTTCATCACTGCTGTCTCCTCTGGCAAAGTTGAGCGATCCAGCAAAGTCATCTTTTTCTCTGAATGAGGTACCAAGTCAAAGCATTTTGATTTGTTCTTGCCGGTGTTGGACATAATTTGGATATTTAACGATTTAATACTTTTTAATCACTCTTTATCAAATAAAAGTTTCCATGAGATTTTATAAAAGACAAAATGATGTTAAGATAATTTTCGATCTTTGTTGCCACCCTTTTGCTTTAATTATAGTTTTAATAGCTGGAGGGTGTTTCGAAACCTTCGGGAGTTGAAACAGGAAAACCTTGACCTAGCAAATCTACTTAACAGTTCCCGACATGAGGAACTCAAGTAGTTATGAAATCTCAGAAAGGTCTGCGTGATCCAAATTAAGGAAAAAAGAAAATGCTGAAAGGGAGTTCTTTCCTTGTAGCTTGTCTCGGGAAGCGACTGTCCTATAGAACTTTGGGTGTCTGGAATTGTGATAAATCAGACTTATTGAATTCAAGTATCAGTTTCTTGCATGGAACTCATGGGAAAAACAAAATGCAGAAAGAAAACCTGCTTCTCTTAGCTTATTCTAGAAATTAAATTTTATCATGGCATTTTTGAAGGTGGGTTGGGCCCTCTTATAAAATCTAGTGCTTTATTGTTGCCAGAAATCTAGTGCTTTATTCTGTAACCCGAGGCCTTCCGTCGTTTGTGGGAAAAGTAATGTTGTGATGTAGGTCAACTTTTCATTTTTAAGTTTGGTTTGTTATATCACATCGTTCTATGTGGAAATCCTGCAGCTTGGCAGATTGTGGCATTCGGTATGGAGCTACACAATCCGCTGTTTGCCCATATTTAGTAATGTCATTCCAGTTGTAAGTTTAGTTTTTGATGTTTTATTTCTTTATATTTATTTTTGGTACACTTCTCTCTCGCTCTCTGTCTCTCTCCCTCTCTCTCTCTCTCTCTCTCTCTCTCTCTCTCTTCGTAGGCTCTTATGGAACAGTAATCCGAGTTGCATTAGTTTTGATGAAAGTTGAATTTTGTTATTCTTCTTTATTTTGCTGTTCATGTCATTTTCAGCAGTTCTTATTCTCTCTATTTCCATGTTTTTGGGCTGGTGTTTTTAAAAAATTGTCATTTCCGTCTATGACCAACATGATGGTGCATCAACTTATTTGGAGAAGCTTGGTTGCTCTCACTCGGTATTTGTTGAGTGGAAAAGAACAATGGAAAATGTGGGAAAAAAGATTCAGATTGAATTGTTTCTCTAAATTATTCATAAGATGGATTCATGAGCTTGTGTATGTAAATAATTCATTACACCAACTCGAGCTTTTTCAGTTACATCTACTTTGTGATCTGATAATCAAGTGAACAATCTATTTTACTTTTTGTTTTTTTTTTTTTTTGTGGATGGATAAAATCAGAGATTCCTCAAACTTCTTAATCCTTGTTTTCTACTTGGTACTATGTTTGTCTTTGTTTGTGTCTAGTATAAGGGGTAGCTCATAATTTGTAAGTGTTTCATGCACTATCTCAACTTGTAAGTATTTCGTTGGTGAAATAGTTGTTCATAGTAGAATGGGACGTTTGAGATTGAGTTTATGCCTGGTGATGAGGGTTTGGACCGAAGTAATTACGTTCGTAGATATAGTTTTGTAGATGTGTTAGTTTCAAGCATTTGATTGTGACAATTTTGAGTTCTTTGTGATTTTGTAAATTATTATTCTCAGAATATAGTATCTGGCTGTTCTAGTCATGAAACTATTAAGTTTTTCGATGATTCTTTCTTGCATGCATGAAAAGAATACTGCTTGTTTGATATATGTCTCACTTTGACTATTGCAGGCAGATGCAGCTCTAGTGCTCCTAAGTAACATAATTTTACGTGTAAGTAGAAAGCTGCTATCCATTTTGACTAATTCCTTATTATTTCCTTGACATGTGAAGTATCTATTCAAGACACAACTGTTATGACTTTTATGATATGTTTATCTTTCTATGTAGACATTAAAGTCTACCAGCATACATTTACTAAGTTTGCAAAGAAATATCCTCTTGCTTGCTTCCTATCCCAGGTGTGTCCTAATACATTAACTGTGCCTCAAGATATATGGGACCTCCGGTTATTCAATGGTTCGCCATCAGTGTAAGTGTTCTTTTTTTGAGTGTCCAAACATATCAATATCAAATGCATCATTCTTGTACTCAAGTTGGAGCCGCCTTATTATGATTCTGGTGACAGTAAATTCTTTTTATAGAAAGTTTTCCGTACTTTGTGCTCAATTACTGTTCAGCCTAATCATATTTGTTGACAAGAGTGTTCCCTTCCTCTGTTGAATAGTTTAATATTAACCCTGTCTGCTTCTAAAGTCTTATTTTTAAACTCTTGGATATATGTATCACCATGCACCTTTTAGTTAAAACTCTGGCCAACAAATGGAGTTTTTGACAAAGTTTTGTTTAAACTTAGCTTTGGATAAAGTACAACTAATTTTGTCTCTGCTGCCAATCCTAAATTAAGGACAAATAAGTACAAATATCATGCTCATGATTTCCTGTTTGTGAATCCAATTTAACATATCATCCAGTTTATTTGAGTTATTTTTTAATTTCCGCGTAGGGCTTGATTTCCGAGTTTCATAGGTTCGTTACCTTTTGTTTTCTTATTTTGTTCGCCCAAGGTTTTAGTTTCATCATGCAGTATCAATGCAAGCAAAGAAAACTGAAGACATGAAATAAGTTTTTATGAATTCTTTTATCGCATAATGCCCTTAATCAATAATCATTATAACCAAATAACCATATGAACCTTTACCATTATCGTGGCAGGTAGGACAAGCTAGTGTAGAATTCCTTATGGTGACTTACCTAAGCTAATGAACACGATGGCAATAATTATGCTAATTGGGTAGTGAATGTTAGGGTCATGGGTTTTGCTTTTACACTCCTGATCTTTACTTGTTGACGGTGAGAAATTTGGGTTGTCGCTGATAAAAGAAATTTAGGTTGTCGATGATAAAAAGAAATATTTGAAATAGATTTTTTTTTGTTTTCTGTACTCCTTTAGTATTATCATGTGTTTCATTATTCATTTGTAGTTTTGGCATTGTTCGGTACATCCATAATGCTCTGTCTCTTTCTTTCCTCCACTTTCACATGAAAAAGTTTCATAATTTGACTATTTTGTAAAATTTTCCTCTCGTCTGTTTCTTGTCTTTTATAATTTTTCTTGGCGAATTGTCTCGTACTTCAGTTTTCAAGTTTTATTGCCTCTTAGATTAAAATTTTTCCTGGTTAACTTGGTTACTTTTGCTAAGTAAATCTCTCTTTTACATTTTGGTATTTTCCAAGTGCTTTGTCTAATGTGTTTTATGACTGCTTTCAGATCTGTTCTGCACTTGATTTCATGCTACTTCTCAAGGAGAGTCTCTCAAGTAAGTTTCTCTTTTGCTTCTTTGCTGTTGCTTATCTATGATTGTGACATATACTACTTGGAAATGTCAAGTGCAACCCACCTTTTCCTCTATTTATTCACAGGAAGGCTTCCACATTCTTCGATACATGTAATGATTATATTGACTTTGTTTTTTCTGGAGGTATTCTAATTGACCGTTCAAAGTCTACTGGATAGTTGATTCTCACCAGAACATTTACATAGTTGGTCTTGTAGATGGTAACCATACCTGATTAGATAGAGATGAGTTTGGTCATGTAAAAACAAAAATGAATAACAAAGAATTATAAAATAAGCTTCAGATAAATCTGGTGGAATAGTAGGTCTCTGTCAGCGAGTTGCTTAAAGTTTATTATGTCAATATATGAAATCATAAGGCTACTTGGAATAGCTGCGACGTTGTAAGAGTCTTTTGCAATATATGGCTGGCCAGGAGCTGTCTTCCTCTGGCATGAATAATTAACTTTTGTGCATAAGATCCAGACTTTATTGCGTCAATTTATTAGAGCTGCTATGATTTGGGTGTTTCTATGTTGTACGCTTAAAATAAGCTTCAGATTTTGATTTTTTCTTCGCGGATCTTGTTCAAGTATCAGCTGCTGCAAAAGTGCGTAACAGATATTGAACTGAGAAATTCATCTTGCTAAGATAACAACTAGAGACCAATAGTAAAATGACTCTCTCTCTCTCTCTCTCTCTCTCTCCCCTTTTGATGTGATTTCAGATGTTCAAAAAAACTACATATACAGTTTTAGATATTGAAATGAAGTTGGGTAGATACTGGGTTTTTTCTTCTTCTAGCAGGTATCTTTCATAATTTTCAGAATACACATTCTAATACAATTTCCTTTCCTAGGTTGATCTCCGTGATGCTTTGCATATGAGAAAGAATCTCTTAAGAGCAGTTCTAGCACTTCTTAATTGGAAGGTCTGTTCCAATGTGATCTTGTACCTGATAAATAAATTCTATCATGATGAGGAACTCAACCATTTATTTTAACTAAATTTTCTTCTGAGGTTTCATTGTTTTTCTTTTTTAACTGTGAAAAAATTGCAACTGCGTGTGCTTAGTATGTGAATTTATCACAGTGCCTTCAATGAAAAACTGCATCGATATGGAATACTGTCAATGGATTTAAGACAGTTTTCCAAAGCCACTAATAAAGTGCTGTGCTTTTGTTACAAAACAACAGGATGTTGTTCTTGTTTGTGGCACTTGCAAGCATTGACTGGAATTAATGTTGAATGTGACTCTTAAAACTCTGCCATGAAATGAATGATTCCACCTCTCTTTACTTTTCTTTTTTTATTCTGTAGGAATCAGCCTTTTTAAATGAGCAGTTGGTGATTATGGTACCAGCAGCAATATATGCTCTTTGTGGTGGATGTTATCCTTTACCAGAACCCAAGCTTGATGTTGCTGCGAACTGGGTTAAGGTAAACTTGGTTGTTTTTTTCTCTTCTCGTTATATGATATCTTCTAATGCTTGTGTACTTTAGAGATTAATATATCAGTGCTGGCAGGCTGGACGGCAAGAGCATGATGTTCTGCATGGTATGTTTGAACTATCTGTAGAAGCCCTTGCGAAGATAAATCGTGAATCTGGTTCTGAGGTGTTACAATTTATACTCTTTGTCCAAATTTCCGAAGATTCTGCTTGCATTGTCACATTTGGTCTCTGATTGTTTGTGCCACACTTTCAGGTTTTTCAATCTGAATGCTATCAAACTGTGAGGTTCCTTCCGAAGACGTTAACAGATTTTCTGTGTCAAGAGGTGGAAAATCTTATTCTTGAAGCTTTAAAGGAGAAGGAATTAGAGAAGATGACTCCTATAGATATCTTCTTCACTTGTGGTCTATTATCAAACTTGATGTACTGCTCATACACCGTGAGGTTTGTGATTTTTGTTCTAGTACAGAATTTCTTTTACCTTTTTCCCCAAACGTTGTCGCAGAACTATGCCCTCTAGATGTATATATTCAAACTAGTGGGGCAGTTGCTTAGCTTACTAAGCATGCCAACTAGACATGCACATTCCAACAGTTGAAAAATAGTATGTTTAATTCACTTTCAGGATTAGAGAAGAGCATTTATACTGCTCTGTGCTTATTCAAGTATTTCAATTCGAGCTGGGCTGAATTCTTAATGTTTCGTTTACTTTCAGGAGTAGCGAAGAGAATTCCTCGTTCATTTCTAAACTCAGTGAGAACATTATAGAAATGGTAGATCACAGCGTTAGAATCTTTGAGAAAACTCGCAATGATGTTCGATGTGGTTGTTCTGCCTCTGGTGACATCATCAATGACATGGACAACATTGTCAATTCTTTTAAGATTTTTATTGGCTCTCCACTCTTCAGCCAAGGGAGAAAACACCACAACTGTGATACTGTAATTTATTCAGGGATTTCGAAAGCTATTGGGAGGCTTCTAGAGGGTTTATCTAAGCTCTTTGATGCATGTCCTGATCATCGAAGTGCTATTCCTCCTGGAGTAAATCATTCTGACGGTTCTGGTAGTAACGATATACACACTGATCCATCTGATAACAGTTTAGACATAATTGTGGATATGGAGTTAGATGTGAACAATGATCCCAAGTCCATGGATGTTACAGCTTTGGGTCAGACGAGTACTGATGTTCTTGTACTTACCTCTCTAAATCTGAAGATGGATGTTATTTATTTCATTTCAAACTTTTTCTCAGTTTTACCATCCATGACATGGGATATCTTGTTTGACATTCTTGGAAAAGTGAGCATTCCGAAGGTATCTTTTGGTCAACCCAATGAATCTTTTGTTCAGTTTAACCGTACGATACTGAATCTGGTACCGGATGTAATTATTATATTTCTTTTTTGGTAGGTGACAGAAAATATTTTGTTCCACTTATGTGAATATCCTTACTGGCCATCACACAGTAAAGTTTCTGATATGGTATGTTAGTCTTCAAATCGTAATTATTCGGATTTGAAGATTGCGATTCCTTGTGGCTCTCTGATGGTGTTAATATCTTTTTTTCTTTTAATTTTTTATTTTATATCATTATCATTATCTTTTTAATGCCAGGTTGATACTCTGCACACTTTAATTGATACACAAGCAAAACTCAGACTCCAATGCCTAGATATTGTTGATGCCATCTGTAAATTGGTGCGGAAATTGTCACTGGCAAGAACCATAGAGGATGAAAGCTGCTCTTCCTTGCAGGGTGACCTTTCTGAAAAAGTATGTTCTTTACATTTTTGCATGTGTATGGCTTGATCGAATATTGATGCTAAAGGCAAGTCTGTCTATGCTAAATGGTTAATGAACTTAGCTTTTGTGCACCACTTATCTATGGATGCATAAATATGTAGCAAGTACACTCACCTCTGAAGGTATTGCAGTGTTTGCTCTAATGCAGGAAAAATGTGATTAAATTTCTTTAGAATGATAATTATAATTCTTTTGGCAACTTAAATGGTAACAAATAAGTATGACTTCAAACTTCTTTGATGAACTTCTTGAGAAGCTTTAACATACCTTTTAGTCCAGCTTATTAGTAGGAAGTGGGATGAATATGAAGCTATTGAATGTCAATTTTGTTTGACCCTGTGTGAGAAGTTAAAGAGAAATACTACTTAGGAAGAAGGAAAACGGGGTATGAAATGTGAAATGGCTTTTAATGCATTCCATGGGTCCATTGATGTTATTACCTGTTATGACTGAATATTTCATTTTTATGCACTGATGTTTGTATAGAGTATTTAATAATTTCCGCATTTGGATTCCTGGCTCTGTTCAAGAACATTTTTGAAAATGCTTTATCAACGGCTCTATCTGCATCCCAAGCCAATACAAATTTGTTTTAAAATACCCTAATTTTCCAGGCTTTGAACTTTTAGCTATTTTTTTGCTTGTGGCTTAGTGCACATTTATGTGCCGTTTTGGTGTGTCAGATATCAATGTTCCCATGAGGTGTTCCCTGAGTACATGAATGATCCTTGAAACTGGTTTGCAGGTACTGGTTTCTCTCCAGAATCTGGTTAACAAAATTAGTGAAACTACTCTTTTCGACTGGCATGGTCGCTGTAAGCTTATTGGTTGCATATGTGATTTCATGTTGCTAAATCCTGGGATTGGTCAGGTAAATACTTTGTTGTTCCGCCAGAATTAGGAAGGTTTTGTAGGAAGCCAACTGAATTATTATTTCCATTCTTCCATATCTTTAACCTGATACTGATATTGTGATTCCCCCTCTTCTTGTGTGATTCCATGGCATGTGTTTATGTAGCCCATGATTGAGAAGTTATTTTTGATGCTTCAAGATTCTGACTACCGAGTTCGAATCTGTCTGGCACGGCGAATCGGTGTCTTGTTTCAGATTTGGGATGGTCACTATGAACTCTTCCAGGACATATGGTAGGTTTTTTCAGGGTATCTTTGTGTAGCTTAGGCTTTCTATGCTCAAGGGCTTAAGAGAATTTAAATGCGAAGTGGGTTAAAGGCTTCTTGTTGTTATGCGAAGTGGTTTATGACATGCGTTAATTGATCATCTGTGGCTGCTATATCTGAAACTCATTGGGTTGCTTACTAGTTTCTTATGTAAGAATGATCTATGAATGACTTGAACATGATTGGCTTAAAATATTTTTTACTTTTTGAGGTTCTATACTAGATAGTATGAATTGAACAATCTAATAATGAATTATTTTGGAAATTTTCTTATATTTCAAAAACGACGTGTTTGTACCGTTTATTTCTTCGGTTTGTTGTTTAAGCCGTTTTGTGAAATGTAGGTCCATTATAGTACTACTGTTCAAAATTCTTGTTTCTTTCTCTTTTTTATTTATTTATTTGTTTTCTTAAAAATTTATCCAGTTCCAGTTTTGGTGTGAAATTGGTTATGTCATCCAAAGGAAAAATCGTCACGGTGAAGGAAGTTTTAACTGCTGGTCCTCAGAGTCGTTCATTGTTGGAAACTACAATAGTAACCCTCATGCATCTTGCACTGGAGAGTGAGCATATAGAATTGGAGGTATTATACCATTCTAGATCTTCATATTGTTATTATCAGATAGGTTTATAATTCGAGACCTTGAAGGACAGTTCCTTGTTGATGTATGGCGGAACAGTGTAGATTCACTTTCAGCATTGCTTCTTCTCTCGATTTCAATCACGTGTATGATTTAGCTTAATAGAGCTAAGGATCTTCCCCTTGGACTTATTATTTGCTGTTGGAATGGCATATGCAGGCTATTTTTATGATTTGTGTTATTGCTGCCATTGATCCTTGTCAAAGGTAAGAGTACTTATGTTATTTTCATGCCATTATGATATTGACTAGTTGCTGTTACTTTGAATAGTGCGAACTTGCTTTCAGGGAATTGGTCGGTGCAGTTCTTGATAATTTATCACAAGAGTTACAGTACACAACCAGGGCAAAGGTTCTCAGACTTTGTGTTTTTCTTTTGAGATTAAGTTTTTTATATTAGTCAATCATAAACCATTCATGCATTTGCTCTGAATTCTTCACAATAAGTTTGACCCATTGGTAACGTTACAGTATATGGAGGAGCTTACTGGGCCTCTTTTATTTTGCTGGGTTGCCTGTGGTGTAAGTTTGCCCGCCCTTGTTGAGGTAAATTATGATATATATATATATATATATATATATATATATATATAAAATCTGATTTTGGTCCAAGCAAATGAAATTTCTTATGATTGTTGTAAACCCAATCACACACTGAATTAATATTTTTCCTGAACTATTGGTTTTCTAGATAAGGGATCTGTTCATCTTGAATGCGGAACCTAGAACTTTCATGCTGTACTGTTGTCATTGGCTTCTTGCATCTCTGCTTTTGGATGAGGATACCTCCAATTTGCATTGGGTTGCGAAGGTAGAAAATCTCTTTGTTTGTCATCCAAGGATGGTGGATATTCTCATTGCAATCTTTTCTGGCAATAGCCTTTATCATAACATATTTGTGCTGCCTTTTGGGTATATCAGCCTTGCATCTGACTGAATAATTTCCTATCTCAATTAAGAGGTCCTTGACGTGCCGTTAAGTATTTCTGTTGGAAATATACTTAAAAGGTTCATATCCTTGTGAGCTCTGACTTGATAACTTCGCTGGCATAATGCATGTACGTGTTTTATGTTTCAGGTTGCTTGCCAGCCTCTATCATCTCTGGTCAAGGATCATTTTGTGCATATCTTTGCAGTTTGTATGGCGCTGCACTGCAGTAAGAGGGCTGGCTGGGAAAAAGGAATGATTGTGTTGGAAAGTTCAGTTCTCAGCATAGCTGAGATATCCGAGGATGAGAGAGACGTGCTTATCAAAAGGCACATGGTAAGTTTCCTTCTTTTTTTTCTTTCTAGGTTATATTGATGCAAATAAAATTCCTGAAATGGTGTCTGTTTTAGTGAATTTATTATCAAATTTTGCGGTATCTGTGGGTATGAATGTATGATAAACCCTGGAAGTTCTTCCAAGTGGCTTCCTTTTGTGCCTCGTGTCTTCGATTTTTTTTTTTCAATTGTATTCGTGGTTGGATATTTTCTTCAGCTAAAACATAATCTTAATTTCTCTGAGATCCTTTTACTTAGTCTTACATACTTGTTTTCCAGCCGTCATTGTATTCTGGTTGATTGTCAGAGTTTTGTGAGAGATAGCACCTGCTTATTCTGTGGATTTTGCTGCTGCTTTGATCTGTTTCTGTTTACAAGTTGTAAATAACAGTCCCTATTGTATTCTATTTCCTTCTTTTGTACCTTTTTCATTTGCTGCAAAGCTTATGATTATGAAAGAGTTTTTAAACTTTTCAATACTTGTGTGAGCCCTGATTTAGAAACTTGCTGCGTTATGAGTCCACATCTTGCTTGAAGGAATACTTGTGTTGATGGGGAACAGGGGCTGAATTGAAAATAGACGGAACCCTAGCTCTAGGGATTTCAGAATGACCGAGTCTTTGAAAGCTTCAAAAGCTTAAAATTATACGTATTAATCAGATAAAAGAATGTCAAAACAAAGGCTGCAGAACTTCTCTATTTATAGAGATATTCTTAGAGTAATCCTAACCCTAATAGGCTTACTAATTTCCTAAAACTTAGGATTAAAAACTGACGCCAAATAAAACTCTTAAATAAAAGGAAACTACTTAAACTAAATTTAAAATTAAAACTATTTCCTGAATCTTCCTGCATCATGTGTCCTTTTCCCTCTCCTTCCTCGCACAGGTTGGTTGTTTAACCCTCAGTGATGATCTGGTACTGAACACAAAAAGCTGAAGGAGTTTAAAAAATATAAGGTTTTCTCAATGGTGCCCACGGTCGTTTGAAATCAGTTAGAAATCCCATATGGGCTAATATTCAAACGTTCTTCACTTGTTTACATGATTTTGAATTTAGTTGTCGTATGTACTTTTCATCAGTATGTCTGCAATTCAACATGTTATAAATGAGGCTCATCACAGGAGTTGGAACATTTGACTGACAACTGTGGTGTTGAAACTGCAGAAATCTGAAGTCTCTCTCAGAATTTTGCATGGAAACATAAAGTGTTACACCATGAGAGCCCTTAGTTGTTAACTAAATTATCAAATCCCCGCTCTTAGAGAGGTACATATTTTATAGACCGATAAAATGAATTTAGATTATGATTTGTCCGTACTCCTAAAGAATGAGTATCGTGCCTCTATTTGATTGGGAATCAAATTTTACAAACAAAGGGAGAAGATTGGAAATCTAAACTTCAGGAGATTCCTGCAATTAACAATAGCAAACTAGCATGTATGTCTGATCCAGCCCAGTCCAGTTGGTAAACATTTCTATCTGCCAACTAGCATTCTATCTGAGAAATAAACCCCTTGTATCTTAATATCTCGTACCCACCTTGAAAAGGGATGCACGGGCATTATGGTATGCATTTTGATTTTGTTGTGGTATCTCCCCAGAGTTTGGCTTCAAAGCTGCAGTCGAAGGCAATGTTGCAACTTAATGCCTCCTCTTCCTTGGGCTAATTCTCTATATCTTATGCTGCATGAATCTTTGTTGGCCCACTTAGAAATATGAATTCAAGATTATGCTCTAGAAGCATCATTGTCCAGGTTACTTTCTTCACTTTGTAATATGTTTCTCCGGCATCACCAAATGTGCAGGTTTCTATTGTCAACCGTCTCCTTTCCCTTGCTGCTGCTACTGCAGATCCTGCAACTCCATTTTTCTCCAGCGAGACCATTATCCGTGCTATTCGAACTGTTGTTGATGGATTTGTGGAGATGTGTTGTAACTGATCTCAGTTCAATTTTCAACTTCCTATTACTTTTCTTTCCTGTCTCAAATATCTGATACTGGGTATTGCTTCAGGGATGATTGTTCAAGTAGCCCCAGGCTGATCGACAAGATAAATATATTCCGGCCTGACAGAGTATTTACGGTATGATCACTGACTTTTGAACTCTTGCACATAAAATTTTTTGCACAGTTTGTCACTAACATTAGCATTTCAAACTTGCTTTTTGCAGTTTATCATTGAAATACATTACAAAGTTGCTGCAGCAGCTCATCATAGGCACAAATGCCATAGGTTGTGTGGCGTTGAGGTGCTCATTAATGTCATTGGGCATCGAGCTGCAGTTGCTAGCACTTTCAAGTGAGTTCTTTTCCTAGTGGTGTTGTTTGTTTGTTTATAAATATATGATGGTGCTCGTCGGGTATTGAAATTAGTGTGTTCTGACCACTTTTTGAGTACGAATACCATCTGATATGCTTATAACCAGTTAAATACCTACACGCATGTACCTCCTCTGTAACCGTTATTCGCAAAATTGTTCAGCCTTTCTCCACCCTCCCCCCCCCCCACACACACACACACACATATGAACATCTGTATATTTTGGCGAACAAATTACTATGCATATAGCAATTTGGGTACTGGCCTATTAGATTAGCAACCAAATCTGCACTTTAGGTTGATTAGAAATTGCATATAAGATTTCATCCACAGTAGTACAGTATGTTTGATGATAATTGACAATCATTAACTCAATATGAAAGGGAAAGAGGAAGGCCTAAAAAGACTTAGAAAGAAGCTACAAGGCCTACAACATTGCTGGTTGTGGAGTTAGATTTTGTGAACAGACATAGAATATTAGACCTTACATTGGTATCTAAGCGTCTATTTTTAAATCCTACATAGGCCTACAATCTTGCCAGGCAAGGTCTAAGTTTGATCAAGTTCTTTGTCAAATAGTTTTTTTGGGGATATTTCCTTTGATTATTTTTGGAACAGCCAGTACCTAGTTGATTGTCCCACTTTGTCAAAGTAATTTTATTGGGGAGATTTATCCAGTGCCAATAACTCTACAATGGTTACCTTCAAAATTTATAAAAAAAAAAAAACCGTATAGATGTTTTATGCTTCTTGGCTGAAGATTTTGGCATCGTTCATCTGTTGCTTAAGGTTTGGATATTTTACACCTTATTATTGTTCTGACTGTTACTCTCATCTTAGATTATACTGCTTGATGTTTGTATGTCAGGTTTATACAAGCTCTAATCTACTATTTGATCTTCTTAGTTATCTTCTCAGTTTAGTTGGCCAATATATTGGTCCACATGCTTTACTGAACCAGTGTTGTCGCATCATTTCAATGCTCCTTAAGCTATCGAAAGATTGCCAATCAGGTGGTAGTACAATTGTTCTAGGTGAACAGCTTCAGGTGATATGTTTGACTATATCTGACAAACTGGTTTTATTTTTGCCTTTACAAATGATATGTTGCTTTCTTGTCTCTAAGTAACTGAATGTCTTGCAGTTTTTGGTGTCTAAAGTGGTTGGATGTTGCATGCCTTCCAATGAGGGACTTTCTGTTGCCTCAATATCTGAAGTTCTGTCATTATTGAATCAACTTATTCTGCAGTCTGATACATCACTTCACGACTACATCAAGGTATAATAATCCACGTTGGTTTATGCATTCAGCTCATTCCAAATTACATATGCAATGTATTTGGTTCCAGAGATTCTTATCATTAGTTTCTTATGTACCAATACGTTTTTGTCAGGAGCTTGAGCCGTTCCCAGAGATCAGTATATTCCATGACTTCCAGAAGTTTCATCAGGATTTATGTGTTGGGTACTCATCGAAGAAGCACTTAGTGAATGTAATGGTTTTTATTTTTGTTTCAATGGTTCTTATACTGTCTTATCACAATGAGTACTAATTCTTGCTTTTCTTCATTTTCTTTCTTTAATACTCTACAGTTGGCAAGGAGATCTGTTTACCTTCCACCCAGAATTCTCCTTTGGAGGTACTTTCTTATTGTTCTCCATGTGTCCTGTTATATTCTAGACATTTATATTTTTATAGCATTATATATTTGAACTAGCAATGTGATGAACATGACTTGTGGAGATCTTATTGAGATCACTCCCATGCCCAAGTCATATCTTTAGTTTGTATTAAACAGTTTCCATTACTCATTACCTCGTTGTTCAACAGAAGTTTATGCTTGCTATGATTTGAAAGTCATGTAGTTATAATGAAATAAACCAATTGATCTATCTTCACAAGTTATATCTTTGATTTGGAAGCCAACCATGATCTTATCATTCATCTATGGAGTAGCTAAATAATTTTTTGGCATTGCCCACTGAAAGCTAAAAGTTGTTTGACATATTGCATCACATGGGCTTGGAGAAAAGTTTGCAGAAACTTTGTTTATGTCATAATATGCTTTCTTGGTTGGCTCTGCTAGTTCTACCTGAATATGTATATTGGCTTTATAATAGTTGCCCAGGCTATTTTCAAGTTTATTGAGTTTTATCAGTTATCGAGAAAAAGGGTTCAACAAATTAAATTGATAGTTGGATGAGGTTTATAAGTTTTTTGGATGTTTACCTAGAGTATGATTCTCGGAATGTGTGAAATAGGAAGCAGGAAATTTTCTTGTTTGTTTCACATTTTATCGTTTGTTTCAGCCTCAAAGCATTGCACAAAAAGCTCTTTGGAGAGGTTAAAAACGGCAACATGGGTTTTGGTGATGAATATTGGCATTCTGACCAAGATATTGTTCATTCAATTTGGCAACTTGTTCGCATATGCAGCTTGGATGATGCTAATGGGTTCCCGGCTTTAGTGTCCGATTTTGTGTCTAGGGTACTGCCTTTGTATTTACATTGCACATATTCTCCTTTTATTGCTTTGGTTGTATTCAAGTATTAAAATATCGCGTTTGGTCTCGTTGGGGGAGCAGATTGGTATTGTTGATCCTCATCGTGTTGTTTTCCATTTCCCTGGGGACATTTACAAAACTCATGGCTGTGGAGCAGACAAGTTCAACAGGAAAACTGATTACAGTGTACATATGGATACAGCCATATCAGAGGAAGTCTTAAATTTGCTTCTGAGGATTTTGAAGAAGGATTTGATGAACGATTCTGCCAAGATAATTGATATGACAACTCAAGCTTTGCGGGTAAGCTAATCAATAGGCATTATCTCTGTTTAACTTCGTTCGGATGGGAAAATGATTAGTACTATCCTATTTTTGGTTGTCTTCTGTTCAAAATTTGCTGGAGTATTACCATTCTAGAGAAAAGGCTTTTCTTATATTTTAATTGATAGCCAAGATATTTTGCGCATTAAAGTCCCTTTTTGTCAAGCATGTTTGGGTCAGGGGCAATAATGGCTCTTGGTGGTTTCCATGTTGGGGTTGAATCTGAAGTTGAGGATGTCGGGGGTTATATTCACACTCAAAAAGACAAGAACCTCGTAAATCAGTAACAGTATCACTCAAATGAATAAGGTTACATGTCATATGCCTTGGTGAATGGAATGGTGGTAAAGGATGTAGTAATTGCTTCTAGTCAAGTCTTTTTTCATTTTACCGGTGTTGCAATTCATTTTTGTTTTTTGGCTGAATGAAGGGATTTCGCATAGAGATTTGACCCCTATCATGATAATTATTTTTCTTATTTTTCTATTTGTATTTGTTTTCAATGGCTTAACAGATTGTATTTTTTAGGACTTGCACAGTCTCTCTTCTCTGTATTTTCCCTGGGTTTTGTTTTTTATTTTATTTTATTTCTAGTTACAGTTTAATGCTTTGTGTGAGTATTATGAAGTGAGTCATTATTGAGAATATCAGACTTGACAGGAAGGTGTGCTATTATCAAGTCTGATATTTGAGAATATGAACTGGAGAAAGGAAAGTAGTGATACTTCTAGGCTGTGTTTGGTTCTTAACTAGTGTTTTAAAGGATTTGAAAGTTGACAATTCTTATCTTGTTTGATTTCAGTCCATCTGAGGCTCCAAGTTCAATCTTATTGTGGAAATTTTAAGAGATATCAAATATGCCTAGAGTTGGATGATAGATAGGTTTATTCACCTAATTAACTTTCTCATCTAAGAACTGGCCTCTATCTTTGGTTATAATGGAAGAAGTCTCTGAGTGTTTTTTTCCCTTTTGATTAGATGATTAAATGAATATTATTTGCCCTTTGTATTCATTGTAGAGCAGTATATAGGCAGCCTCAGAATTTGTCAGATAGTAACTGCCAAGGATTTCATGGACTTTCTCTGATAGTTTTGAGTACAGTTACTGACTAAATTGAGAAGAAGATGGTGACCCTTCTGTATTTCCTTCGCATTTCTGTTGTAGTTGCCAATTACTGTACTTCAGGCAACTGTAAAAATATGGAGTATGGAACCGGAATATCTTATTTGCAAATTTGTACACTGAACAGGGCATACTCTCAACAGAGAAGGGTCAAAGAGCTTTACAATCATTTGAGTCTCATGAGAAATTGCTAATTGAGGTATAACCAATCCTTTTCAAGAATGTTTATTTTTGTACCATGAAGTTATTCAGCGTAAAGTTTCTACATATATAGGGCATCATAAATAACTATTTAGGGGAAAGCAGATGTATCTGGAAGCAAGTGTGAGGCATGCTTTCCTATATGGATCATATGTCGCCATCGCACTTGATAACTACACACATTATCATTTAAATTTAAATGTTTAAGTCATTCAAGCGTTACGACTGAGAATGATGATGGAATGTGTTATGGCTGGTAACTATCTGTATTTGGAATTTTCCAATATGTTATGGGGCATGAATTTTCCAATGATTCCATATAGCAAAAAATATGTTCGTCATGGCAATCAAATGATAAAATAGTAGTACAGGCTTGTTATATTCGTATGAATGTCTAGTTTCAGCTGGCAACACCTTTGGTTCTGTGCCATATTTCGAGTTTATATAGATTGGTTTATTTTCCATGGTGTGAAGAAAATGGTTTTTCGTGTTTGTTTTCTGTCTTAGGTTCATTCTAAGGGTGTTAATATGGAGCTAGCACAGAAGTTGGTATCTGGTCTGGAGCTAAGGTCCTCTGGTAAAGTTGAATTTTTTACTATTATTTATCTTTCTTGTTTTAAGGTCATTTGGAAGTAACACCCTCGAGTGCTTATATGTGCTAGTTTATCCTTTGAAGCTTTGAATGAGCATTTTTGTTGAAATGTCACACTTTGAATGCTTTGATCTGTATTTTGTTTAGGACTGTTTCTTAAAGTGCTCCAAATGGACCAGAGTGTGTCAATTTAGGTGTTCATGTTGTGCGTCATGCATGAAGCTTTTTCTTTCTTTTTTTTTTTTTTTTTTCCTGTTATATCAGTAGTTACATTGCTCTCTTAATAGATAGCTTTAATTGTGCCTACAAAGGTGAGAAAGGTATCTGCTAGTTTAACAAACATGTGGTAGCAGAATGTTGTCCTGAGCTCAGCTATTTTGCTTATTTATCCAAATTTTAGAGTTTCGTGTCTGGTATGTTATATGAGCTATCTTTCATGACAGCAGAAACGTTTTCTTTAGAGCACACAGCCGATTGGAACACTCAGGGCAAGACTTTTGACATGTGGATTTGTCCACTTGTTTACGCCCTTACCAGTTACTGCAACGACATCATTTTAAGGTTTTTCTGCTTTCCAGAATCTCTCTTTATGAGTCTTTCTGGGTCTGTTACTTTTTCTTTTCCATCTCATCCTATCCTTTTTCTAAACTTCTATATTCCTTTTAGATTGTGTCGAGATCTAGTTTTGGTAAAATCTGAAGTTGCAGAGCTTCTGTTACCAAGTGTCATGGTTAATTTAGCTGGAAGGAAGGACTTGGATGTCGATCTGTGCAAAGTGATATCGCTTCAGGTAGATTAACTGCATTGATCATTGACATCTTGAATTTCAATCTAGAGTTGTTTTGTTGCCAGGATGATCTGTGGTTATAATTTCCCTTCTTGCCTGGATGGCTGTGCTAGATTGGCTGTTATATTATTTATGTTGTTTCAGTAACTTAAATACTTGGCCTAGCCCTTCGGTTCCCTGCCAAATTTCGTCATTTTGTTGAGCATCTTTGTTTGTGTGATTGTGCATGTGTATGCTGAAAAAATTAAATTTTTCAAGGCATGCTATGAAAGGAGCCATATTGCAATATTTCTCCCTTGTAAGATTAAAAGACAATAGTCAGGTAAACTAATGCTCCTTGGCAAGAATCTAGAGTCGTTACTTGTTGGTGTTCTCTGTGGGCGCTCTGTTTGGAACTTGATGTATTAGCCAACGGACTCTGTGGCAAGGTTTATTTGAAAGGTTTGAAACAGTTACATGTGAATATATTTTCCTATGTCTCTTAGTTTCTCTTTCGACGCTTCTAATGAACCTGATATATTCTTGCTAGATCCTGAGAAAGGGCAAAGGCATAAGAATATTAGTTAAAACATAATAATTTTCAATTAAGGACTATTCACTATTAACTAGGCTGCTGAATTTTACCACTGCTTTTAAGTGTTGAATTTCATAGTTTATGTGAGATGGCTTCCAGCTTCCAAGTTTCATGGATAATTGGACTTTCGAGAAACGGCAATATGTTGCGCAATGAGCTGACCGTAATATATATAAACCCTGCAAATGAAGACTTTGTACTATGATCATTCCTGTTCTGGCTAATATCTTTGTGCCATGGAAATCATCAGATAGTATGACCTAACAGAGATATTATCCTTCCCTTTTACTTGTGTATGTGATCTGTTGCATCCTAAGATTTTGTGCTTCCCATGTATCAGGTTGAGGAAAATATATTCATCGAGTCCAATAAATTGACAAAATCAATCAAAGTTATGTTGCATGCACTTAACGAGCTTCGGCTGTGGCATATGCTGGAGAGATCCACATCATCTAGCTCTAAGGTAAAGGGTCTAACATAGGGCTGTGACATATATTACTGAAATCTCCATTTGCCAGAACATATAAAAATGGGAGTTTTCTTGGAGACTTTGTGATTGTAATCCATTGCCTTTGCTGCAATCATGGTTTCTAGGTTGTGAAGTCCTCTATTCATGTATCAAAACCCCGTTCTGCAACGGTTAAATCGAAGGATGAGATAACATGTAAAGCCATGGCAACCACTATGTTTTGGGAAAAGGTGAATGTTCTGGAATTATATTTATTGACAGACAACAGAATGCACTGTGTCTGTTGGTTTCTTTGGATGGCGGCTTGATACATAAAAGCATTGTTGGTGAACTTTCCGACATTATCTATACTGCTATAACTCGGTTACACCAATTATTCTGAATAGATCATTGTAAACATAAAAAATCTATTTGTGGTAATGGTGATCCTCGGGATCAAGATTCGTAGCTGTTGCTGTAAGGGTTTAATTAGTTACCAGTGATGCAGCTGTGACCTCTTAACTCATTGCTGTATGATTAATTGGGCTTAGAAATTTCACTCATAGGCTAACCATGGGATGCTACATCACAAAGAATAGAGAACTAGAATTATCTGATTTTCCTTTGTCCATTTTCTCATAAAAAGATGCTACATCACAAAGAATAGAGAACTAGAATTATCTGATTTTCCTTTGTCCATTTTCTCATAAAAAGACACTTCTATATATGATTGACTTGCTTGTGGCCTTATCCAATACATTGTGACTTGCACACAAGGTTAGAGAGTTAGAGGAAGTCGGCTTTTAAAATTACAACTACAGCAGTACTAATAACTGCAGGAGTTATTCTAATATGGCTCTAGTCCTCTAAGTTATAATATTTCTTGCCTTGGTGCCGTTCGCTACTTTTGTTTTTTAATGTTACGGTTTAATCTTTTATAATGCCTATTTTGGACGTATTCCCACTCTAACCATCTCTATTTTGCTAGGTTTACTGGCTTCCTATTGATTATCTAGTGGTTGCAAAGTCTGCCATTGTAAGCAATCGAACTTTATGTTTTTCTCTTGTGCAAATGTGTTATTGTTTACTCAGTTTCAGACCATATTGTGAAGTTTTGTTCACTGAATCTTTCTCGCAGAATTGTGGATCTTACTTTACTGCAGTTCTCTATGTTGAGCAATGGTGTGAGGATCATTTTAATTTCCTCACGCTAGGTTCCCCTGATTTCTCGCACCTTGAAACTGTAAGCAAACATGGTCTTTTTATTTTAAAATGCTTTTACTTTCTTGTTACTATTAAGAACCTCTTTGATGCATTCTCATAAATAGCATGGTAAAGAAAGAGGGGAGGGGATAGGGGGTTGAGGTGGTGCAAATGGGTGGATGTTATTTACCATGCGCCCAAGGTTAATTGCCATGAGTGCAATCAAATAAAATATGGGCGAACTACATCCCCCTCCCCCCCGAGTTTTGGTCCCTTAACGGAACACCCCTCGAGTTTTGATGATACTACATTTTTTCCCTTTGACCCTTGGTCAAAGCACCATTTGCACCACCCTCCTGATCGGACAAGTCATGCTAAGCGTTGATGTCATCGTGATTTTTGCATGAACTGACAAAATTGTCCTTCTATAGATAATCTTATCTTCTTTCTTACAAAAGTACCCTTATTATTATTATATTTATATTTATTAATAATAACATTATCACTTCAACTCTTTTTTGAGAAAATCACCTTCAACTCTTAAGATCCAATAAACTGGAGTCCCAAATTCGAACGACTTCATTTTCAATTCAGTTGAATCCAATCGGCATAAATATAAACTTATGTCATACCTCAAATTAAAGAAAAAAAAAACAAAGGAGAATTGCAACAAAATGGTACATTATGATTTGCACATAAAAGCAAATATGGGAATTTTTTGTCCCTTCCACCATAGAAGATACTGGGGTTATATCCTACTGTCACCAAATCATGGATAGAGAAGTAACTATAAGTACAACGTCCACCATATTGAAGATCTCCAATAAATCGGGTTTTACAGTCCGATGAAAAGGAAGAGGGGAAATGACTGTTTTTATGCCAGTGAATCGAGGGATAAGATGAGTAGTGGATTGGTTAAAGAAGATATGAAATAATTTAGAGATTTATGTTCAAAAAAGAGGTGAAAATGTGGTATGATAGGAGAACGGGAAGAAAGGGCAGAAACGATGATGGTAGCGGTGAGGCCAGGAACGATGGCGGCGGCGGATGAAGGCATTGGTGGCTGGAGTTTCTGTAGGTTGATGTCTTGATGAAGATAGTTTTGAGTTTTGTCGTTTGAGGGGATGAAGAAACTCTTTTTCATTGTGGCCTTTATTTTCCATTCCTCTTTAATAGACTTTTGGGCCAAATCATGGGGATATAAAAGACATTTCATATTCCAACAAAATTTTCCCTTTTAAATTTTTTTTTCCCACTGGAAGTTGCCAGGAGATTTTGGTCATTGCAAGCTTTTGGATTGTTGACTAGACGTTTCACCCTGTCAAAGGGGGGAAATGTAGTATCATCAAAACTCGAGGGGTGTTCCGTTAAGGGGCCAAAACTCGGGGGAATGTAGTTCGCCCATAAAATATTTGTAAGTGATATCCTTGAACGAGAAGGAAAGAATAATATAGATGCTAAATTTGTTTTTATCCTGCATATACACTTTTATACTTGCTAATTTCAATTTTTTTTGTAGCTGCCCCGCCACATTGAAATACTAATCTCTGCTGTGACCCGAATCAATGAGCCTGATAGCCTTTATGGGATCATTCAATCTTACAAGGTAAGGTTTTCTTTAGGATGAAACTTGGTTATGCACTTTCTTTTGCTTTGCCTAAAGGCGCTTAATGCATGCCAGTTCGAAGAAGATGAACATGAAGTGTTTGTTTATTTTGGTTTACTTTCTTGATATTTCATTAAAAGCTTGACACTGGTGCAATGAGTATCTCCACCTTTGCCTTGCCAGAATTTATCTTGTGAAGCAAGCCCCCTCTGAAACTTTTTGAATAGGTTCAACCTCTATTTTTGTGATTTTAGTGCTGCTAGTTTTGTAGTGACAGTAACAGTTGCATCCTCATAGATATATTACTTTTAAAAGTAATTTCTTTGATAAGTTTACTGGTTTCTTTTGCAGTTGAACTCTCAAGTAATCATGTTTGAACATGAAGGAAATTGGACAAAAGCACTTGAGCACTATGATTTACTCGTTCAATCAGGATCAATGGAGCATACAAAAACTTTTCATGAGGAATCTCAACCATTGGGTCCAGGAATGTTTCACAAATATGAAGATGGAAGTTTACCCAAAACGCCTTTTAAAGGTTTGATTAGATCTTTGCAGCAAATTGGCTGCACTCATGTCCTGGATGTATATTGCCAAGGATTAGCTTCTCGGAATGGCCAACTTCTACAGGACATGGAGTTCACTGAGCTACAGGTATTATCATGTTCTTCATTCTTAAAATATTGCCAGAATAATGTATTCCTCTTCCCAAATTCGACAGCTAATCTTTTTCAGTTCTGAAACCTTAGCATTCTAGGTTTTCAGTGAATCGTTTTTGTTCTCTTTTCGCTCAAACGTGTTGTTTGTCAAACTACCTGCAGTATGAAGCTGCTTGGCGTGCTGGCAATTGGGACTTCTCTATTGTTAGTGATAGAGGTTGTCCACTTCTTAATCAAAGCTCCAGAAGTGTACATTTTAATGAGAATCTCCATAGGTAATTCAACAAAGAAAGGAAATTGCTAAGTACGAGTTGTATTTTTGACTTATGATTCCTTCACAAGAATGTGCCTAGTTATTTTCATGTTTATGTTTGTATTGCTTTTCCAGAAAAAAAAAATTTTAAGAGTTCTCGGTGTGTATGAGTGGATAGGTAGCCACGAGTGCATTCCCTGAGTGGTTTCCCCCCTTTAATGTCCTACAACTTGGGCAAACCTTATCCCGTTGAAGATACTCTTCAAGTCGATTTTACACAAGCAATTAGTCTTCTGTATTTCTTTGTTAGTCTTGTGGTGATACTTTGACATCCATCATCAGAGTTGCGTAACATGTTGAATTTGTCAATTAACGATAATCACCTTGTGATGTTCTAGAAATATTCAACTTCAGGTAGGATTCCTCCCCCCCAGCCCCAACAAGTTTTTCTAATTTTTTTTGAAGCCTTTGCTGAATAGCTGTAATGACAGTTTGATAATTAAAAGTAGTATTAAGCGAGACAAATTGCCAATTGGTTCTGCAAACTGATCCATGCCTACAAATTTGTTTGTAAGTCTGTGGTCAATCTTGAGGGTGTGGCTTTACATCTTCAACACCTTGAGGTGTCTTGTGACTGTCAGGAAATAGATACTTCATGTTTTTTCGTAAATTTGAATTTTATTCTTCTTTCGAAGTAGGTGGTCAATGAATTTTTTTTTTTTTTTGTATTGACAACAAGCGAATGATAGTGCTGTGGCCAATACATTCAAACCATATAATTTAGGTTGGACTAACACTCTGTTCAATGCCAGCTGTTTGAAGGCCTTGAAAGAAGGCAAAGTTGATGAATTTCAGAAAAGGCTTCGAGGCTCAAAGCAGGTATTGCTGGTCTCTGCATTTGAATGGTAAATGCTCCAAGTTGCACCCCTTATCCTGAATCTCCATCTTCGCAGGAGCTTCTCTTGTCCATTTGTCATGCCAGTTCGGAGAGCACCGAATACCTGCACACAAGCATGATTAACCTTCAGGTGCGTAAATGTTGTAGAATCTACAGCTGTTGACGTACTATAATGACACGTTTCTTTAATTTTTATGTTTCAGAATTTATTGATTTTGAGCTATTACCGATCCGTATCTGAAATAGAAAATGGAAATCAAGAAATGACTTCCTTTTAGTTGTCATAATTGATGTGGGTAATTTATGTATAAACGCCATTCTGAGCGGCAATCTTTTCCTGTTTCTTATCCATAGTAAGTAACATTGTCCAGTAAACCAGATTCAGGCAGTCCACCCGGACTCATAAACTGGGGAACCTTGATTGAGATTTTAAATTCATGTTATTGTTGATGCAAACATTTGAATATCTGGAGTGCCGAATGGAAACAGGAGAGACAAAAGCTTAGTCGATAAAAATCATTTAGTCTGAGGTGTATACTTCTAACCATCATGTTACATCTTTTGCATTTAAGTGAAAATATCACCTCTGGTTTGTGTTATTTCATGGTTGGAGGGTTGTCTTGATCTCAATTGATAAAAGGTTTTTGTGTGTTGGAGTCGAACCCATTACATTCCGGTAGCAATCACCAAATATCAATCTTCGATTCCGATAAGCATTTCTAATTTGTAATCAAGACAACCATCTAAAATGTCAAAAAAAATCTATTATACAAAAGCATGACGTAATGCAAATGGATCATCAAAAAGGGCAATGACATCATTTATTTTTATATTAAAAGTCATTTATGTTAGAGGTTTGGATTTTTGAGAGGGTAGTTGTAGTTTCCAAGATTTGCAGACTCTCTTTGTAGTTTCTACAAACCTCGAGAGAGGCTTATTCAGCCTTTTATTTGCTGAGTATCATTTTTTTCTTTTTCCTCTTTATATATTTATTTATTTTTTTGCCCTTTCAGATACTTTATCATCTTGGTATGTCGTGGGATTTACATTGGAGACGGATGGAATCTGAATCAGGATCAGTCAACTTATCTGAACCTATTGCCCCATCCACAGAGCAGGTAATACCTTGCCTATCTAGCTATTGATATATTGCTTCTTTGGAAACTGACTGCCCAATGCTGATTCAAAGTGTCTTGGAGGGTTGAATGTTTCTTTCATTTTGGCCCTTTAAAACAAAGAAGGCATGGAAAAGTCCCTAAAATCAGGTCATGCACCTCTACCTCCTAGGCGATTGATTGTAATAATAGGACAAAGATGCCAGAAGAAATGAATGAAACAATGCACACTAGTACCGTTGCCAGACTGCATCCCATATAGCATCTGGCAATGCAAGCAATTATAAAAAGCACAAGTGGATTTCATCTGTTTAACTTTCTTTAGGACCATGTTCTATCATTCTTCTAGTGAACTTGGATTCAGATTAGGTCTGAGAAATTATGGGAAAAATGAAAAACTTCATAGTATTTTAATGGGTGCAAACTATAGTGGCAGATTTAGTAAGTTCCATATAGTATTGTGCTAAGTGGCTAAACCTGTTTTTAATTGCATTTATTTGAACATGTTACGACCACTTAACTCATGTTCTGAGTTCAGTGCACCTCTATTCCCTCTGTACTGTTTGCTTTGCTGGTGTACATTTGTATCAAAGCCTAATGACATAGGACAAGCGTGATGGTTATAAAACCCAGACCATAGGTTGATTAATGAGTAGAACGCTGCAGAAATTTAAGTGCAAACTGAAAGATAATGGAGAATTGCAGGGAAAACACAAACAACTCTAAGAATCACTTTTAGTGACCCATAGGCATCAAGTACTTGGAGCTTTAGCCGTCATGCATCTCACCCTTTGGACCTTTGGTCTCATACCCAAGGTCAGCATTGCACAAGTGTTGGACAAAACTTTGTTGCAGGAAAGTTTTATTTCTGGAAGTCTGAAATTTTCGCCTCCTGGGAGTACAACAGTTATGGCCTTTTGCTTCCTAGGATCATGATGATCCTTGGCACAGTTATAGTAGAATCTAGTGATACATTCTTCTACCCTTCCTTTTCCTCGTCCCTAAAATATGTTATCCATATCTAGTGCATTATTTCAATGCAATAGTCCTCCTTCAATTCGGTCTTTTAGAGTAAGGAAGCATGGTACTGATGTATTTTTGTTAGTGCGGAACTCAGCAATCATCACCGGCACATGCTAGAAAGCAATGGCCCCTTAGTTTTTTACTTTATTGGAAATGCATAATTTTTAGTTACTTCAGCTCAGTTCCCTAACTTGTTGAGCTTAGTAGGAGGGTGTTTGTATGGCTTTCAGAAGACTAATTCTTCTCACAATTGAGGTAGCTTTTTTAAAGTTGGAGTATGGGTAAAACTCCAGTCGTACTAATGTTCCCTCCTACACAAGCTATGAAGGGTTTACTTTACGAATATTTCTAAATAATTAACTATGAATTAAGTACGTGATGGCTTTGAGCTGAATTAACTTCATTGCTTAGTTTTTCAATTTGAGCGACGAAGTGCTTTTGTCGAAGGAAATGACTAGCAAAATGGGAACGGAAACCTCACTATCACTGTTCCCTTGGATTTTATAAATATTTATATGATCGAATTTTATGTGTAGTCGTTTTCTGACGCATTAGTGTCCACGCAGCTGTCATTGCTTAGTAAGGACTGGAGCCGAATCTCAGAACAAGTGCAGCTGCACATGAATTTACTGGAACCATTGATAGCATTCAGAAAAGTTCTGCTTCAGATTTTGAATTGTTCGGAATCTAAAATTCAACATCTTTTGCAGTCAGCATCAATTCTTCGTAAGGTAAACATATATTCTGGATAGTCTTTTGAAAGGAACTTATAGTTTCACTGCCTGACATTTTGCCTGGCAGGGTTCGCGATTTTCTCAGGCTGCTGCATCTTTGAACGAATTTAAGTTCGTTTGCTCAGAACTGGGGAAAGAAGACTCCAATGTGTATTGGCAGGGAAGGGTATGAAATTTGCTGGTACTACATACTACATTTGTTAGGCATTCAGATCACATGTACACATGTAAAAGATAACACCTCAAATCCAGTTCCCAGAGATAGATTTACCTTTCTTTTCACTTATTGCCAATTTATCTTTTGTAGATCCTTATGGTACTATTGTTTTGGGTTTTGATTTTATTTTCCAAACATGAGCAAGATCACAGTCGATTTATTAGGCTTGGTTTTGTGATATTTTCTTTGAAGTCTTCAGTTTCAAATTGTGCTTCATGCTACTTTAGTTGTAGGTTACTTTCTCTTTAGCTCATCGGTTCATTTTTCTTAAACATAGGGTTTGGTTGGAGGCTTTCAAATTTTTAAGTTTAATCTTAATTATGTGATGGGTGGTTAGAAAATTTCAATCTCAATAAGGTTTGAGATAGGGTCTTAGAAATACTTTACACTCTGCTTACCCAGTCTTCTAGTTGTCAACTGTGTATGAGTTGGATGCTTTCAAAACTATTCTATAGTTCTCTGCAATTATCCTAGTGTTCATGTACTATTATGTTTAGAAACTCTTAAGTAATCTGGTTGATTGAAAATTGCCTATTCAGTCAGGTTTGGTTTTACTCTGCATTTATGTGCTGCTTTGGCATAGTTCCACCCAGGGTCGCTGGGGAGAGGAAAACAGAAAATGTCCTGCAGTCGAATGAAGAAATCATCCTGATTAAGCTTCATATTTGTTCTTTTGACGTGCTTAATTGGTGATGCATATTTGCTGCCCTGTTTCTGAAATCTTATAGATGTGGCGGCTTCATTGGCTTTTATAGCTGATATCATCTGCTTATCCTTCCGATACTTTCATGAGTTTTGGTTAATCGTATGTTTTTGCATCTTTTGGCTAGTGAGGTGTAAAAAGAAGGATTTACTAGACTCTTGGATGACATCCTGATTTTCTTTGGCAGCTTGAAGAAGCTAAACTTCTTCGTGCTCAAGGACAGCATGAGATGGCAATTAACCTTGCGACATATGTATCTCAAAATTTACAATTTGACAAATTTACCTCGGATGTATTTCGCTTGGTTGGGAAGTGGTTGGCAGAAACTCGATCAAGCAAGTAAGTTTCAGTAATATCAATAAATACCAGGTTCATATGCATTATTCTGGTGAAAGGGGTGTCTCACATGGGATCTGATATGTTACAGCTCTAGAACAGTCTTGGAGAAGTACCTGAAACATGCAGTTACACTTGCAGACAATCTTAAAGGTGTGGACCCAAAATCCGTAGCAAAACAATGCCAAATGCATTTTCAACTTTCCCATTATGCAGATGCCCTCTATCGTAGTTCTGAGGAGAGACTGAACTCCAAAGAATGGCAAGCGGCAATGAGGTTAAGGAAACTCAAGGTACGTATCAACTGATTTGAATGTTTGCCTTGTATATAATGAACTAAAACTGGAACGGGATCTTGAAATTCTTTTGCGTTGCTGCCTGTGAATAAATGCAGACGAAGGAATTGGAAGCTCTGATTAGGCGTCTTAAGAGCTCAACAAAGGCAGGTTTTTCTCCTTCACGAAACAGGTTTGGTACTAAGTTTTTTTCTCCCGTTCACAATGTGACCTGATATTTGCACCATGATTTCAGGGAGCACAGAGTGAATATTCAATAAAGATACAAGAACTGCAGAAGCAGCTTACAATGGACAAACAAGAGGCTGAAAAGTTGGAAGTGAGTCCTAACTACTGTATAATACCTTAATCTGGGTTCAAAATTTGGGGATAATGATGTTTTAATTCTACTTCACTACCAGGATGTTATGTTATCGATGTTCCATATTCAGAATAGTTTATCTTTTACTGTTGAGCAAGCAAAAAATGCGTGGAATGCGAAATCTGGAGTAAATTGATCTCTTAGATTCATTGTTTTGGATTTGCAAACCAATTATGTAGTTTGACATAATTCTCTGGGAAAATAATTGGTTTTGTACCGGAAAAGACAGGTAGTTGTTTTTTGAGTTAGGGGTGGGATGCTACTCGGTTATATTAAGGATACAAAGGCAGATTACTGTATCTCTTAGGATGCTAACTGAGATTCCTTATTCCAGAATCCATGATTTCAGCAGGTATTAATTGCTAATGAGTGCACACTTACTACCCAGTTGATGAATCGTAGTGATTGTTGTCCTGCCTTTTTAATTAAGTTGAAGTTGTTTTTCTGCTTAGTATTGGTAGCATTTTAAACTTACGACATTTTGGGGAAATGGGTTCTCATTATATCTTTTTGATGTCCTACCATGGTTGCTTAGGAAGACAGGGATAGCTTTTTAACTACTGCACTTGAGGGCTACAATCGTTGTCTAGTCATCGGGGACAAGTATGACCTCAGGGTGGTATGTATTTCCTTCTCAATATTTGTGTAAAGGAATAGCTCTGTACATTACTGCATGTTGTGAGTACCTTTGAACCATAGTTGCATCTGATCACATGGAGAAAAAAAAAATTCTGACAAAAAGTACACAGGGACATCCTTGCTACATGTTCTAACCAAAGAATAGGAATATTAATCAGAAAAGGCAAACCTAGATATCTTTAAATTCACTTAAGTGGAAGGGCAGAAGATTCAAGTCTGCAGTCCCAAATTAAAAACCAATTTTCTATGATTGTGAATAAAACTACAATACTTAATTACATCTTAAAAAGGAATGCAGTTTTTCTTTTTGATTTCCCATAAAAGCTAAACTTTGTTTTAATCTGTACAACATATTTTTAATACTAGTTTGCTTCTTTCAGGTATTTCGGCTTGTTTCCCTGTGGTTTGGCCTGTCTTCAAAACAAATTGTCATTGATTGTATGCTCAGAACAATTGAGGAGGTAAGTTCATTATGATGGCTTCACGTCATCATGAATAGTTGTCTTCAGCCAGATCTAGTTTTCTATGACAACTATTTTTACGTTTCTAATGCAGCTTTTGACATCTTTAATACAACTTGGTATATTTCCAAGGAAAACAAGAACGAACTCGAAAACTTGACAAAAACTTTGTTCACGGAGTTCCTTAAGCATGTCACAGCCACAGTTGTAGTCTTTCAGAGTGAATAAGAAGAAGCTAATGATCTAATGCTAAAACCGTCATGGCTTTTCTCAATCTGCTGATTAGTTGTTGACAAAATTTAGATGCTTTCCAGGTTCAATCATACAAGTTTATTGCACTGGTTTACCAAATTGCGTCGAGAATGGGAAGCGCAAAAGTATATCAGGGACCTCATAGCTTTCAGGTATCAAAGCGTATTTGAAATCTAAATATCTGGACTTATTATGTACCTCTATTTGTTGATTCTGTGTACATAATTCACTCAATAGGGACATATTTTGTTTGAGGTTTTTCTAACTGTGGTGGAAATATCATACTTCTGTTTCATATTTGAACGGCTTGTTTGTACAGTTTGCTTTGGCTTCTCTCTTGAAGAAAATGGCAATCGAGCATCCATATCATGCTACTTTCCAGGTAGCCGACTTAAATTTGAAAATATCTACATGCTAATTGAATATTTTTTATCTTCCAAAATAGATATCAATAATATTTTCTGTTCCCTTTGTTGGCGAACTTTATACTATGTGGCTTCAATTCACTTTTCAGCTACTAGCCTTGGCCAATGGAGATCGAATCAAGGACAAGCAACGTAGCAGGAATTCTTTTGTGGTGGATATGGACAAAAAGGTTGCAGCAGAAAGCCTCCTGAAAGAATTACAGTTATACCATGGAGCTGTCATTATTCAAGTGAGATTGTTCAGTCTTTTTTGTCAATTATTGAACTTTTTTTTGGCAAATAAACGTTTGGTTTCTTACTTCTTGCACAATTTTACTGTGCATTATGTAGATGAAGCAAATGGTGGAGATTTACATTAAACTTGCCGAACTAGAAACAAAGAGAGAGGTATATGAATTGATGAGTTCACTCTCCATTTGAATTTATTTTTCTTCACTCTCCCTTTCTTTTTTGCTCAAAATCTCAGTTCGTATTAGTTGACGTTCATTCCAGTCCTTTAGTTGCTGTGGACGAGTGTTAACTTGATATTCCTGCAGGACACGAACAAAAGGGTTACTCTGCCCAGAGATATCCGTAGCGTTCGAGAACTAGAACTTGTAAGTGCAGTATTTTGCCGTAAATGTAGATTGATTATTGTAGGAAGCACCTATATTACAAAACTGGGACTTAAATATCGACCCGCCTGCAGTATCACCACCTCAATCATGATAAGTTGTTTGTTGAATAGAATATTTCTTATATTCCCGTGGAAGAGTTTACTGATTATGGAACTATGATTGTTTATTCTCCGACTGTGACGTTGCAATCGTTAGCGAACCTCTGTAGAACAGTCATACCTTCAGCAATGCTTTATGGATCAGAGTGTTGAGTCACTTAAATACAGAGATCAAAAACGAGAGTTGTAGAAATAAAAAAGTTTAGATAGGGTATGGGGGCACATTATCAATGGAATCTGTTACGAATAGACTAGAGAGAGAGTGCGGCTAATACCAATAGGGGAGATGTTTAGATGGCCTAGTAAGGCAAGGAGAAACATACATTAGCTCAGATTAAAAGTGGAAGGGAGCTCAGATTAAAAGTGGAAGGGAAAATGCCTGACAAGGATAGAAAACTATTATAAACAACATGATGTGTTCTAATTTCTAACTTGAATGAACAACATGGGTTTGGAGTGCAGAGAACTATGGTGACCAATGATCATATTAATTAACCGTATGTAGTGCGATTAAGTTTATTGTTTGTTGACTATGCTTTCATTTTGCGTTATGTCATTGTTATTCTTTTGTGGGATACTGAATTTATACTCATAGCGTTAATCATCTCGTGTAACCTGACTGGCCCAATAACTAACTTGGATTTCCATCCTCGCTAACCCAAAATGTTTTAGCAAAGTTACTGATACCTATGATCCTAGGACTTATACAACCTCATCTGTTCATTTGTGTCCTGGTGTGGAACTTGAGGGCTTCAAAACTTAGCCACATCATACATCTTTGTAGAGTGTCTGGCTTTCCGTTGACAATTCAAGTCCTTAAAATAGGCCCCGTAAAGCTGTTTCCTGTGGAGTTTACTGGTGGCCTCTTAACTTCTTGCTCTTGAACGTTAAGATCGATTGATATTTGTTTTGGTTCAAAGTATAAACTATATATACCAGAAAAAAGAAAAAGAAAAAAAAAACTATGAAACAAAAATCGTTCACTGTAGTGTTTAGGTAGATATGGATGCAATTCTCATTTGTGACTATGCGTGTGTTTTGTCTTTTCAATTATCAAAGCTCAAGGTACTTGAACTGATTCTTCAGGTTCCTGTTGTAACCTCTAATTTTCCTGTTGACCGGAGTTGTGAATATTGTGAAGGCTCTTTTCCGCACTTCAAAGGCTTAGCAGATTCGGTCATGTAAGTCTTAGGCAGCCATTTAAATTCTACAACTCTATTGCATAATATTTCAAATGTGGTAATGTTGTTTTAAAAGTGCAATGCATTTGCAGGGTGATGAATGGCATAAATGCACCAAAAGTGGTCGAATGCTTGGGATCTGATGGTAAAATTTATCGGCAACTTGCAAAATCGGGCAATGATGACCTGCGACAAGATGCGGTACTCTGCAACCAATTTATATATCCTTTAGCAATTAGATGGTATCATATTTTAGTGTATTGAGGTGATTAACAACATCAACTGGGCATAAAAAAAAAGGCCGTTATTGATTTCTTGGGATATATCTCTAAATGAAAGGTTGCCATTCTACCATTGTCCTTGAAAGCAGTAGCTGGTTGTAATGGATTCCATAAGCATTAATGTAAACGTTTCATTGTCCTTAAAATGCATGATTTAACAATAGGTAGATCTTTTTTTCGTTTTTTCCCACCAAAAACACATTCTTCAATGGTAGTCTCTCCTTATCACAATGCAATCCATCTTACCAACAAAATGTGTCAGCACTGCTTAGTACTAATTTTGTCCTATTCACGTCTCATGCATGCTGGACTTGGGTTATAAGATCTTTTCTTTTTCATACTGGGTTTTCCCTTTTATTTTTCCTTTTCTATATACATTTGGTATCATCAACTTGATGAAAATTAAAATGCAGGTAATGGAACAGTTTTTTGGTTTAGTTAACATCTTTCTAGAGAACCACCGTGACACACGGAAAAGAAGGCTCAGGATACGCACATACAAGGTGGTGTTAACATATACTACCTCTATCTCGAATGATTGTTCTGTTTGGGTCTTCACTTTTAGTACAAATTATATGAAAACTGAAAATTCAAACCGGACAGGGACTATAATAACAGAAAATCTCGTAGGGTGTTGATTTACAGTTCTACTTCAGAATTAAATGATTTCTATTCTGGTCAGTCATTAATGCAAAAAGTGATGAATACTTTTAACAATAATAACCATGTGTTCTTCCTGATACAGGTAGTTCCTTTTACCCCTAGTGCCGGCGTTCTTGAATGGGTGAATGGCACTGTCCCACTTGGTGATTATCTCATAGGAAGGTCAGTCCAATTACATGAAATGCTGAGTTCTCTATATTTCGTAAAAGGTGAACTGGAACAGTGGTCACTATTAAGCAAAAGTACCAACTCAACAAATTGAGTTCTAATTAACTCATGTTTTAAAAAGAAACTCACGAATGCCGTAAAATCTAACAGAAAAAGTGGACTCTCCGCTACTTCACTTTTTTAACCGCAGAAGTTGATAGAGGAGCTCCTCTTGCTTGTTTAAAAGTTGAGTTACCTGGATTAAATTAAATTTGTTGAATTACCTGGAGTGGCAGTTTTGCGTAGCTTCGTGACCACCTCTGTGGGTCACCCAATAAAATTGTATGTCACCCTTTATATATTGGAGACTAAATAGATTACATTGTACGTTCAGCATGAGAAATGGAGGAGCCCATGGACGCTATAGATCAGGAGACTGGACATTCCTCAAATGCCGGCAACATATGACCACGGCAAGTACTTTACTGCTGTAATAGTATTGTTAAGATGCTTCATATCTTTCATTGTTGTTACTGATCCAGCAAGCAAAATGATCAAGCGGTTAGATTTCACTGGTACAGACATCAACTAGCTTGTTGAACTATGAATAATGTCACTTAGGCAAACTCAATTTTCCATTTGTGTGCTGTACTCCATAGTATCAGAAAATGCCAAATCATTGTACCTTATGCTCAAATGATTTAGACAATGTTCATATGTGTGATCATTCTGGGCGCATTTACAGATGTCCAGGAAGGCAACTCCGTTCTTTGAATCGATGGACACTCAGTCATTCTTAAAAATTTTATTGCTAATTAATGCTGATGTTCCAATTGAGTGAATAAAGTAATATTGCTTGGAGTACTGCGGGTTAACAAGGAACCATAATATCTGATGTTTAGCAGATGTTACAATGATCCGCAAATGAGTTTTGTATTTTCAACTAATAAACATGATTGTCCCAATTTGGATCATCTTCATGGCTGGATTGTTCAGGACAGATATATTAAAATTGCATGATTTTTAAAACCTTTAGTTTCAGATACATGTTTTGGCTACTTTTGAACTGATTCTCACTCTTAATCGTGGTCTGTGGTTTTCGACACTTGATAGCTATCCTTTTTCATATCTTCTTTTTCATCTGAAATGGACTATGTCGGTTCCTTTAGACTACCGGATTAGCTGCAGATGTTAAAGATTATTTTATAGTGCTATGACTCTTTTTCTTAGAGTTGAAGAATTCTCTATTTTGAAAGTTCATGCTTATTGCATCATCCCAAACTCTAGCATACATGAGAGTTTCAGTGGAGGTAAGAGATCATCTCAAGTCTGGTGGGATGGGAGTGGGTTCACTTAAGTTAAAAAGGGTTCACCTGTGTAACTTAGGAACACTTCTGTCCTTAAGAATTCGTTTGCAAAAGGCACCAAGACCTCAGTACCATAGTGTTGGAGAACATTGTCCAAGAAGTAACAGTCAAAAATATGCGAAGGTAAACTAAAATTTTCACCCGTAGGATTTCTGTTAACTCAGATCTTCCACATGTTAGGTGCTTGTGGTTATTATCTGGAGAACTCCATTCCTAATATTATTGATGCATCACTATGCCAATATCATATTATCTCTGAGAGGTTATATATTTGTAGGAAGCTGACAAGCGCAAGGCATTCCAAGAAGTGTGCCACAACTTCAGGTTCCGACTTAGTAAGCTTGATCTTTAATTGATTTTTAAATTACCCATTTGATATATGTCTTAACACTATTGCAGACCTGTAATGCATCATTTCTTCTTGGAGAGATTTTTACAACCTGCTGATTGGTTTGATAAAAGACTTGCGTATACAAGAAGTGTTGCTGCTAGTTCTATGGTATGTCTTGAGAGAACTATATGTTCAAACCACAGTGATCGAACTTTTATCTTGCTATAAAATTATTCACCTCCATCTACACTGTTGTTTTGAGAAACAAGGGCCCTTGAGTTTATTCTCTTAAGCATGAGTGCATTAAGGGCTTTTTTGGCTTATTGAATTTCAGGTTGGTTACATTGTAGGACTTGGAGATCGACATTCCATGAATATACTTATCGATCAAGTCACTGCAGAAGTAGTTCATATCGATCTTGGTGTTGCATTTGAGCAAGGACTGATGCTCAAAACACCTGAGCGGGTACATTTTGGTTAATTGTATTTGTGTTTATTGGACTTAATGCAATCTTCACATTTTTACACCTGGTTCTTTGCACAATTTTTTTGTAGGTCCCGTTCAGGCTGACTAGGGATATCATTGATGGTATGGGTGTCACAGGAGTTGAAGGGGTCTTCAGAAGATGCTGTGAGGAGACTCTTTCTGTCATGCGGACAAACAAAGAAGCGTTACTAACTATTGTTGAGGTTTATGTTGATCTTCATCAGCTCCTTCAAAGTTGGCACACCATACCTTTTGGATATTTTACCTCACATTACTCCTTGTGCAGGTCTTTATCCATGATCCTCTTTATAAATGGGCCCTATCTCCTTTAAAGGCCTTGCAACGACAAAAGGTTGGTGAACTTCAAATTTTCATGCTTATCATTCATGTTGAAATTCCCCTTAGATAAGAATATAGCATGAGAAAACACGAATAAGATGGATTTCGGTCATATGATGTGATAGCTCTCCTTGGTAAGAATGTCCGAAGTTCCCTTAGCAGTTATTGCTGGTTGGCTAAACCTGATCCTTTATCCTGTGTGCAGACTCCTCTTCTTTTCTGTTATCTTGTGTAGAATGTGCAGTTCAGATGCACCTATGTTACAGAATATGTATATTGACTGTCAAATTTAATCATCGAAGAATGCTGCAAAAAATGTTTTATTGACATTAGTGTACAATTAGCTGTGCAATCACTTTTAAGTCTGTTCTAGATCTTTGGGATTTTATTGAGAAAGGCCAATATACCGCTTGGCATCCTAATTTTAGTAATTATAGTGTTTCAGAATTTTTGGATATTTATAACTTTTATTTTGTTGAAATTGCATTCCACTTATATAGGAAACTGATGATGATTTGGAGACAAGCTTGGAAGATTCCCAAGAAGATGACTATGAAGGAAACAAAGATGCTGCTAGAGCTCTGCTGCGTGTCAAACAAAAGCTTGATGGATATGAAGAAGGTGAACTGAGAAGTGTGAAGGGCCAGGTAGATATTCTCTGTTGCATCGGCTTTGATTAGCATTAAAAAACTGTGTTTCTGCCTTCTTAAAATTCTAGGGGAATGATTCATCACTTTTTAAAACTTTAAATTCTATTAAAATCATAAGGATTAAGGGCAGCTAGCTAGTGGAAGTAAATTTAAAGAGGAACAAGTGTAATGATTTCCTGATGGTGGATTTGGTTCTTGGCTGAAGCATTTTCATCCCTTTTGATAAACGTATCCCTTCTCACTGGTGTGTTTCCTTGGTCGACCTTCTCCTAGAACATCTAACTTGGATGCAAATCTTAGATGTTAGTGTTTCATTAGTAAAATGCTGTTTTCAATTTGATGTCGTTTAGCATTCAGTCTCAAGGTGACATGTTAAACCACATGTCGCGAATTCGACTCTCTCTTCTCCTTGTGCCCCGAACATGGCCCTTGGATCCGACAAAACCATCCCCTAATCCATCCCATCAGAATCTCTCCTTAATCCTGGCCTGGGAACAAGGCAAAATTTGATCACTCTAGCATAATCGTTCTAGAATTATGGTTTCTGGTAGCAATATCTCGAGTAAAACCTCCTATAGTTATGTTTGCTGCTGGTTGTGCTAGTGGTGGGTGTGTAAATTCTTTTATCAGCTACTACTATAGGAAATTTAATGCGAGAGTTTAGATTGATTTAGCTGTATACATCACATCATCAGATTGATTTGTCAATCGATGTCACAACTTCAATTTGGGTACAGCCGTAATTTATTGAATTTCTTTTCCCGGGAAAAATACTGCATTTCTTTTGTTGCGTGAAAGATTGGATCTACTCCACTTATGAAGGCACAATTTTATTTTTTTGTTGTTATTTTTATGGCAGGTTCAACAACTCATCCAAGATGCCGTTGATTCTGATCGCATGTGTCAAATGTTTCCTGGGTGGGGCGCTTGGTTGTGATTGTTTTATCAAAGACTGAATACTTGTGGAACTAGCAAGCATCAAATTTCTGTGTGTGGGGAGACATAATTTCATTCCATTGCAAAAAGGGGCTTGTGTTTTGTGTATAGAATACATTATAGAAAGGTGTAGAATTATATCATATACCTGGCGAACCAAGTCCAGATCGATGATGATCAAGTTTGCAATGAAAATGAATGAGGGTTATGCCTATTTGATTATTGTTATTATTTTTTTAAACTAAAAAACCGTACCTGGTATATTATTGAATTATAGAAATATTCATATAATGTATTAGAAACTATCCTTTCACTAACCTTAACAAATTTATAAGTTTTAAAAGATAAAACTAGAGTTGAAGCTCAAGATGGATCCAAATCTGGCCGAGATTGGCCGCTTCTTTGAGGGCATATAAGCACGTCATTGTTTCTGTTTGAAAAGTAGAAAAGGCATGCATATGCCTGAATCACCATGAGAAGACTCTTCTATGCTCCCGCCGTCTTTCTTATTGTACGGACCGGATTAGTCTGGTTTGCCATCAATCCGTCAGTTTTTTAATTTTTGAAACCGTAATCGAACCGGATTACATTATGGAACTGGACCAATTCAAACCGCATTAAAACGATTTGGTTTGGTTTGGACGGTTTCACGGTCTATTATTGGCTTTTTTATTTCTAAGCCACAAATCAGACTTTTTATGTTATTGAGCCTTTTGCTAGCTTTTTTGGGGTCAGAGGCAAATAATAATTAGAACAATATTGGGCCTCTTTCAAATTTAAATCCATGAAAATAGGGTTACAAAATGATTGTAAGGAGTTTCACCAAATGATTTGGACAAGTCTGAGATAATCATGACTACCAACGCTGCCACCTACCATTTGTGATAAGATTTACAACTTATTTATATATATAAGAAAACTATTACCATTATTACTCTCTCCGTCCCATAAAAATAGTCCAGTTTCAAAAGTTACAATTTTTTTAATTTAGTCAAAGATACAACTCCTTTTTGTCCAAATATTCCCACTTGTACCCCTTATTCAATTTGTTCATCCGTACTACTGTCACCGATTAATAACTTATCAACAGCCACCGTCCAAATAATATTATGAGAAACATAATGGTGGCTCAATCCATCCCTTCCAGAAATTCTAGATCTAAAACACATAATTAAACTCCATACCATTTGGTGAATATAATCCATGCAGCACGCATCTCTTCAGATCTACCATCACCGATCTCGTCGAACTTGGTGGTAGTTTCTTGAGGATGATAACACTTAAACGACCAAATCGGGAAAGGATTAGTCGTTGGCAGCTTAGGTGGCAAAAAAACGCCGGATAATTCTTGCCGCCGCCGTTGAATTTGGAAGTAGCAGGAGTCATCGAGTCATAAAGAGATGACTTCTGGCCGCCGCCGTGGAGGCTAAGTTGGCGATCGAATTTTCCCGGCGAGAGACGGAGAAGTGAATTCTCGTCGGCGGCTTTGGTGGTAAGGAATGTCGCCGGAGAGTTTCAAGATTGATTTTGCAAGGGTCGTGTTGTACAGTTGGTTTTGTGATCCGAAAAAATTGGCTTGTTTTTGGTGTTGGGGATAATTGTAAAATTAGTTTTGTTTCAAGGGTAATTTCGTATTTTACTTAAATTTTATTTTGACTTTCTCAAACTGGATTATTTTTTTGGGACAAAATTTTTTATGAAAGTGGACTATTTTTGTGAGGCGGAGAGAGCATAATGGTTTATACACGGTCAGATCCGATTTGACAAACAGTTTTAGTGTCAAACCGTAATCCAGATCGTAATTAATGGTTTATAGTTTTTCAATCCGCCGGATTAAAAATTCACTTGTAAACCTGCCACCAATCGGAACCGTCGAAGGATTTGGGCGATTCGACGGCCGATTTGAACTGAACTGTGAACACGAGGCTAGTGATGTGGGCCGACCATCTATCAAATCATGAGTTGACATAATCTTGTCTATCTGGTTCTGCGCATGATTTGTTGAATTATTTCTCATGCAATTCAAGGATCGGATTTTTTGATTTCGCCAAATTTAATTATTTCTCTCCATCATATAAAAGAATTGCTTCATACTGTAGATATCCAATCTTGTGAAAAGATAGTGTGGATCTGAAACCTTAATGAAGATAACCTCCAAATCCTTTTCGAGTACTCACAATTTAGGAAGAGATGATCCACATCTTTATATGCATTAAGGCACCGAGGACACAGTTTATCCACATTAATGCCTGAGTTGTGGACAAACATCTCTGCATGGCTCGTAAGAACTTGTGCTTTGATTGGGCCTCCAACTTCCGAACTTTCTTCCAAGGCATTTGGGAATGTCGAACATGTTGAATTATTTCAGGATTCCTCATATTATAAGCATGCTGATAACCCGACTTTATCGTATAATTTCCATGTTCAGAGTCCAGCCATATAAGACGATCATGATGATTTCTCTGAGCCGGAAGAATATAAATTCCTTCAATGAAAGAGATGATTCTTGTGAGAAAATTGTCTGAGAAGGGCAACTTCCACTAACCATTGATATTAAGAAAATCAGCCACTCGAAGATTGGAGTGAGTTGCTAGAATGGAGTCAGGAGCAATTGGATTCTGCCTTTGTGGGATCCAGTCCTCTGCTAATCTGATGTATTTGCCAGAAACTACCTGTCATTTTGTGTTAGTTTGCAAAAGCTTGTCCCCTCACATTATGCTTTGAAACCCCCATGATAAAAATTTTTATGGAATTATGATTGGAAAAAAGACCATTCCTACCGTATTTGCTATTATATACTTTAGCCATTAAAGAACATGGTTGTGTCTTGATTTTCCACGCATGCTTTGCCAGTAATACTTGATTAAATTCTTGCATTTGTTTCAGGCCCAAACCTCTAAGGTATGTGGAAGTACAAATTTTTTCCATGCTTTTCAATGGATACCTTTCTCATCCTTGTCACCTTTCGATATAAAGTGTGTAATTATGCTATCTGCCTTAGTAATAGTCTCTGCAGGGAGTTTGAAAACAACCATGGGATATACCATCATGAAAGACAAAGTGGATTTTGCTAATGCGACTCTCCCTGACAGTGTGAGCATTCTTGTTTTCCAGTCTGCAAACTTTCACTTTAATTTTTTGAGAAAGTCACCAAATACAAGTCTCTTCCTTCCATTAAAATCCAAATCCATTTCCAGATATTTTCTTTAGAAATTTGTGGACCTGATATGAAGAGTTTTATGTAAGTATAATCTCCATTTAATTGGGGTGTCATCATTGAGAAGAACAGAAGACTTAGTGAAATTGATCCGCTGCCCAGAGTAGTAAGCATACTGATGAATGAGCATCGAAAGCGAATCGATAGACTCCTTAGTGCAATCAATGAAGAAGAAACTATCTGGTGGGTCTTTTGATGTGATCAGACAACTATTTATGTTGTGTCGTTGGAATCATTCCCCCAAAAGAATAATTTATAAATCTACTTAAAACTATTAGCTAGTGGTAAGTAGGATTGTTCCACAGGGATGACAGTCAACCGCTCTGGATCTGATTAAAATGGAAGTAAGAAAATAACTAGTTGGAGAGTTTGTCACTTGGGAGAGTGAGAAATGTCACTTGAGAGAGTGAATAGGCAGTAAGGGTCAATCACCTTCCTACCTTTATGCTCCAGTTTTGATTTAATACTCCTATAGTGTATGATTAGTTGTTCAACCAGGCACCTATGTGTCTCTACAATTCCGTCAAGATAGAGTAAAGAGTCCTAGATTATCAACCCAATCAAAGTATTATTTAATCGGGTCATTGAGTTCTTAAGCCCTTATAGACCGCCTATGCCACCTCCGAACTTCCGTTGGTAGATGAAACAAAAGGAGTGATATTCCTCCTTTGTCATAGACTAGATTAAGCAGTTCTAAGGTTATGCGCCCCCTTCCAGATCTCCATAACCATACATGCACTTTTAATTAATTGATCAGGTTAACTAAAAGGTAAATTTAAACACTTATCTAAGTACAACACTTCATCGAGGAGACTGAATCAAAACCTTCACATAAAGATAATAGGGATTGAACCCTTAACTAAGTTAGCTACTCATGCTTATTGAGTTAGGCATGAGAGCAAAAGAGTACAAAAGACAGGACATGAATCCTAATCAAAAGGTTAGAGAAAAGAAAGGGGAGATGGTAGTAGGGACAATTCTGTATGCTCACTATGGCAGTAACGTTCGCCAGTTGATAGATTGACAGTCTGCCTTGTTCCTGCTACTACCCTGTTTCTAACCAATTAACTAACTACCTAACTACTGTCTTTAGGACTAAATCTAACTACCCGCTCTCTATCTCTCTCTTTTCTACTGCTATTGGCTAGGTATTCATAGAGATTTTGAGAGACTTGAATTTGTGGAGTTCTAGCCTTCTTTTCTGCAACCGAAATGTGAGGCAGCAACTTGCAGTAGCAGTAAAGAGTTGTTTATTCTGCAACTTGCCTAGTTGGCAAGTTGCAGCCTTCTTGTTGGCCACTCTTTTTCTTCAACTGCAATTAGTCATCTTCCTCTCATCATTGCCTTTTTTTCCTTAGTCTTCTCCTCCGGTGCAGTTGCTCCAATTCTCAGCCATCAGTCTCTATTTCTTCATTCTTTAATTCTCAGCAGCCAATTCAACAGCAGTAGCAAGCAGCAGTATCAGCAGCATGCTTCCTTTCATCATTATGTCTTCAGCCCCCAATTCAGCCTGATTCTTCTGCCTTTTCTTCCTTGTTTCCTGGGTCACTTGCTTTGCCATTGCTCACCCTTCAGTAGCAGCCAATCCATCAACTCAGCAGCAACATCAGTGGGTAAGTAGCAGAGTTGCAGCTGCTGCTCATCACATATACTCCCTCTTTCTCTTCTTCCACTTGCAGAAACACAACTTGCAGTGATGACAAAGTAATTTCCTTCCTTGGGCACCAAGATCTCGGCTAGTGTCTCTTCTTCTTTGATTGACAGGAGCAACAACTTCTGCAGCA